ATCCTCTTAATAATGACATTTTACCAGCCGGTGAACACAGAGAGAGGTGTGAATTATTCACTCTGAAAAATGTGTATTTGTGGCCAGTGTATTAATGAGTATTTTGCAGCTTTAATAACCCGGTGATAATGAGCGCTTTGGGCGTCCAGAAGTTAACATGGAACAGATTTTATGAAATGAATATTTTCGGGGATACTTTGATTTTGATTATCTTCAATTAACTTTTCGCTATGTAAGAGAACAGTACTTTTCGTCAGATTTTTTTTTTAATTTTCCCAGAGCTGGCAAATGAATTAATAATAGTGTTTGAGAAGCTTTCGGCTTCTTTAATATTGAAGACAAAATTTCAAGTCAAGACTCCTCGTGCAATAAAGTTTAATAAACTTACGGAAGACTGAAGATCAAAACCACTTTTCTGAAACTTTCCTCTGTATCGCTATTGTTTAATTGAGGAAAATCACATGAAGAACACTGTCATGATTCTCCCTTTCTCATATCATAAATAAAATAAAACGCTCACGAAAAGCTCTTCTAAAGAACTGCATTGATAATTAAAAACATTGCTCATTATGAGCATATTTAGGTAATCGGAAAAGAATCATTTTAAAAAGTTGAACGCTATTCATAACTGTTAAATTTACTTTTAGAATGTGTTTAAGAAATTGAAACTTCCTCTACAACTTACGTGCGGAGTTTCCTCACCTTCACACTCAGCCATGACACTTGAGTGTGACCATCAAGTATATACTCCACATATGTAATGTTCATCCCAATTGAAGGTTTCAATTTTTTGGCTGCTCCGCTTCCGGGAATGTCTTGCAAATTTCACGTACATAAATCCATGTAAACGTATTCATTACCGTAACTAATTGAGTTACATTTTCAGAGTTACTTAAGCAATCAAATAATACGCTATACCTTTCCCACCCGCTTTCATACATGAAGAACGCCACACGTGCACAGGAGATAAGTCTTCCAAGAGTGCTAACCTCACATGGAGGTGCCTCTCTCTTGCTGGAGTATATTTAGATGTTTTATACCAATGCTCCCCATTGGAGCAAATATCACATACTACACACACTCCTGAGCCAGTATGCCTTTTTCGTTAGGAGAATAAAGAGAAAATCAGCGCGATATAACAAAGAGTGGAGGAGAAAGAGAGCTGACATGCGGGAATCTGGTGAAACTTTTCCTGGAAAAACACATTTATCCTATTCACATTATGTCCAATTGTTACGTATTGTTGTATATTTTCCCTTTTTCCCTCCACCAACATCAGCACAGAAATTTCACCCACTTGCCTTCCACACCCCAGGAATGCCTTCACTAATGCGTGAGGGTATTTCCTCTACACTCTCGCCGTTCTTCTTATGTACCAAGGGCGGCATGGGCAGGTCGGGGAGTCCAAAACCTGGAACAAAATGAAAGTCACGGCTCATAAATTGAATGAGTCTGCAGCATTTATTCGATTCTACTATCTTTCTTCTCCCCTTGGCTTCCGTATTTGGCACTACACTGCCAGCATTGTATCTCCCCGAAAACCATGCTCACGCTCCATATGAATATGGCCATGCGACGGCAAATATATCGAGGAGATCTTCTTTGGTCATATTACACTCGAATAATAACATATTTTATTGTACTGTGGCACTCACTGGGTACTTTGTACAATAATTTCCATGTAATACAATATCCAGTAGAGCACACGCAAAAGTTGCGACACAATCCACACATCTTCTGATGGCGAGGAGGGAATAAATTTTAATCCGGGAAATGCGACTCTGGCATTGGAAGGAGCGTAAGGAGATATTTTTTGGGTATTTGAGGGAAATTCAATTACGAATAATTTAATTATGTAGAGTCTCTTTTTTCCTTCCACCCTCAAAGCTCAGCCTCCGGGACACACTTTTCTCTCTCTTGCAAATAAACCACGCGCAGAGTGGAGAGATGCTAATTGTACACCATCAATTTAGATAATGCATGAATTGGTTGGTCTCCGCAGGCCAGCTTATGAAAATTAAATCAGATGAAAAATGAGCTCAGTGATCTTAATCAATTCTCCACGCTACACTTTCAATGGTTTCAATGCATTGAAAAGATGTTTTGTCAATACTTTTTTCATCAAGGAAAATGTGTGTGCTTCTCCTCTTGGCATTTCCGCTCTGCAAACTTCAAAGATTCACCCCCAACAAAGGAGCACACTCTTGGCAAAACCTTATTTCATCCAGCAATTGTGTGTGTATTCGCACCGCTTTTATGCGTGAGCGAGCAAATGGGATATAATTTCCATGTTTTTCCACCCCACACATAAAAGCCGCGAAAATGCTCTTTTCCACTTATCATTTTGTTTCACCTTTGCCAAATATTGCAATACCCCATTATGCTGGCGTATTTATTTTTTCGCTACTCCTCCACATAGTGTGGGAGACAGAATATTCACAAGTGCGACAATGGCAGCCTCAAATAAAATCGCTTTCTCTGCGCCACAAGAGAAAATTCACAGACCTTTAACAGTGCTGTTAGGAGGGATAAAGAAAATCCGGAAAAATTACATATATAGGATTTCTCTATATTCCGCACACATACAATTCCATATACCATTCGCATACACTATGTGGGAGGCTGGGTTTTGTGCTGATACAAGATATCGTCGTGTGTGAGAATGTTGGGCGACAATTTGGGAAGGCGCCTCAAATGGCAACACAACACAATGGCAACAACTCGCAATGCTGAAAGACACACATTTAATATTGGAGAAGGAGAAAAAAGGATAATGATGGCTGAGGAGGACAGTAAAGTCTAACGAGAGCGTGAAAACGAGGACTCTGTCTCGTCTGAAATAAAATGCCCCCAATCGACGTGGAATATTCATAAAAAATTCCCCTAAATTAGGTGAGTGTGTTGTGTTTTTTCCCCGCCCATCCACCCGACGAGAATTCTCGCCGACAAAGTGTTGAGAGTAAACTTTAATATCGCCTTAACATGGATCATTATCCATCCGAGCATCCACTCAGAACAATTTGGTTGCACTTCGAGACTATTTTACGTGTCAAGATTTGCTAATCAGCCCCCCACTTAGGGGCACCCTTTTCTCTTTTTACTCACTCTCTCTCTCGCGATAGAGAAAAGTATTAAAGAAGTTGAGGAGTATTAACACCCCTCAGAGCCAACCCACCCGACATGCCCCCAATATTTCATCCTGTGCAACCACCCGCTGTGAAGGCTCTATTTACCCTCCGCTTTTTATATCGCCCACCCGTAATGAAGTGGATGTGCGTGAAAATGTGCCAAAATCCTCGAACAACTTTGGAGGAATTTATAGTGGAGATTATGTGCTATTAAGTGTCACGAAATCAATGCGAGTATGTGTGGGAAAACTTGAGAGGTTTACTCATTGAAACTAACAATGCTGCCGCTGCATCCGCAAAGTTACGTGCAACTTTCATCATATTCATGCATGATATGGTGAGCTTATCAAAATTTGCTACAGCGGAGGAAACTTTCCTTCAGATATGTGATACACACTGTAAGTTAGTAGGTTAAGGATTACGAGAATGGGCTTTAAATTAGTCAGACTCCTAATAGGCGGACTGTTTTATGTCCTTATGTCATGTCCTGATTTTCAAATCAGCAATGATAATCGGTGATAAAAGAATAGGGTTAAGCTTCGTCCAAGGGACGAAGAATGAGGGTGAATAAAAGGGAATCAGGTTGTTTCCCTAATAAACATACTATTTAGGTATTCAGGGTAATCAGAAGCTATGAAACACTTAAGATATATTAATAATTGCATTATTAGATAGAAGCTGAAATACGACTACGAAATCTTGTATGCAAGCGCATACCTACTCGACATAGTAATTGCATTTGAAAAACAACTCCATGGCAGAAAATTGTTAAAGTGTGCTTTTGCAAGAAAGAGTCGAGTTTCATATTGTGGGATGTCTTGAAAATGGCTGAGGATGCAGAGTGAATGGTTACCGAGAATTCAGTGTTGCTATATAGGCTAAAAGCATCAATCTATAGATGCAAATCTAAGTCCGATTGTGGGTAAGAAAATCGGTAGAAGTGATATTCAACTATGCGAAAATTAACATTGGCGGTTGTTTGGGAAGTTTGTGTGTACTATAAAGCAGCTAGAATTCGAGATATCAGGATTTCTTTACTAAAAAATATATTATGTAGATGATTTGTGTGCAATTTCATGGCATGATTCACTCTAATACCGTGACATTTACTGTAAAATGCTCACAGCGACACGAGTGTTTAATTGCCACTATTAGTGTGTCAATTGCAAGGGTTTTTCTTGTCATTGAATTTGAAGACCTTCTCCGAAGAATTCACAATTACCGCATGATTTGCTGGAGAGGAAAAAACCCAGCCAAGTCACAGCAGTTGGCAAAAATGTTTGGTGGAGAGCTCATGAATTCCTTCCACCAAATAAGATGAATTTCTTTCAATCTACTCTCCGCTATTTCCTAGGAATGGCGAGGTCAGAAAAATGTGTGCTGGTAAAATACTCGAAATGTTTTTCCGACACACTGAATGATGCATCAATTTCTCAGCTGTGCTGAGGGAAAATCTCATCTCTTGTGTGCTGAAACCGACGGGATTTGCAGGAAATCACGTAAGTTTAATTTTTAATGATGGCTATTTTTATCAATTCTCTGCCCTATATTGGGTTAAATGATAAATTTAATTGCATACAGTCTGGTGAGGTGAAGATGGTTCTTTAGGGAAAATATTTACAAAGAGAGGGAAGGAATGTGTGAGTGTGTGTGTGTGGAAAATAATTAGGATTTTTCTTGGGATAGAAGGTGCCTTTGCTGCTCTATGTGCCTCTATTTAGCCATGAGAAATGTATGGAGAATTGGGGGTGAGAAGACGGAGAACGCCAGTGAGGGGTGGTCGTTGGGGCGCATGCGGTGTGCGCGAATCCTCACTCTGGGGGATGATTCTTCCGTGTGCAGTGGGAAAGTGTTCAGTTTATCAAGAGTCGCCGTTGAGAGAGTGTCGTTGCGAGGCACCAGACCCTGATATTCCCCAAAATTAACACTTGAGACTACATATCATCGCCACAACGAGTGTTTATTTGTAAAGTGAATAAGCGATCGAACCCAGCTATGATTGACTCTGAGTAATGTTGGGAGGCTTGACTTGCTAATTGACTTTGCGAAGAGGGGGATTCTTTCAATCTTTATAAATGTCATCAATGTGATTGCCATACGCTCTATTGACAGTCAATTTGGCTCTAATTGAAGTGAAGCCGAAAGGTGGTGGGAGGAGAGAGGCGAAATCCTGATAATTTGTCGTCAATATGATGCTGTTAGTCGATAGATTGTGCGAATGGGAAGTCGAGAGACTCAATTAATATTTAGTACATCTCTATATGGTCATGGTTTCAAAATTTGATTCACCCACCCACTGTTTTCGGCGAGTTTAGGGCGGTTGGGTGGCGGAGCTATCGCTGGTTAATCCCAGAACAGAGACCAGATTACTTTTGAATAATTTACAATATGACTACTTGGGAAATGAACATGGTGGCAGAATGAACAAGTAAAAGTTGGCGAGATAAATGCAAACTATATAAGTTATTATATATATGTGGTGTGTTAGTAAATTTTCCAGAGAAAATTGCAAACAATGTCGCAAGTGAGGGGGAATTACATAGACAAGTGTCATGTCTAAGTATTGACCCAAATTCATTCTTGAGTATTTTGATGCTGAACCTCTTCAGCGGGAATTTCGCTAAAAAGTCATTAATATGCAAGTGCTTACCAAGTCTCCCACCACGCTAAAAACTCACTATTTTATCCCCAATAGACGGGGTGGGCTTCAATTAGTGGCGTACCTAAATAATTGTCTTCTGTCGCAAGATTAAGCTTGTGGTGAGCTTTTGAATACATAATGTTTCAATTTACCCTTTTCCTAGATTTTATAACTTAATTCCTGTGATTTCTTTATAAATATTAACTCTTTTCTAATGCACTTTCAATGCAACTTCACTGTTGTTCATAATTGAGAAACGAAGCGGAAAATAAACAATAAGGTTTTTCATCAAATTGGACAGTGCAAGAATAGGCGAATGAAGTGACACATTTGGATTTTCATTCCAGCGATAAGAATAGAACATAGTGTGACTTGTGGAGTGTGAATATTCGTCATGAGAACAACGATAATGGCAACTTTTGCATTTATTTTTACAACCATCGCAACTGCGGCCATATTCGCTGAAGGTTGGTTCTATTCTCTAATTTTTAATCCTTTGAATTTAGAGCAGGAAGACATGATCCAGAGCCTTCCGATAGCGTTATGTATTTAATATATAAACACCTTGCTGTATTCTGTGTTGAAATGCTTCGTACTGAAGCTTAGGGTGTTTTGTGTTTAAAATATAATAAGGAGTTAAGTGAAGCATTACTCATTCAATAGAGTTAAGAGTGATTATTCCTAATTGACTCTATACATTGCAATAGGATTTATCGCTTCTAATATTGATTTTACACATGATCGACTGAGAATTTTAATCATATTTAGCAAAACAATTCCTGACACGAGAACTATAATATCTGGAATCTAAACTATAGTCTTCATGCGCTTCACATTTCGAACATAAAATGTTGCATGTCTAATAACTAGAAATAAGTTTCTTTTCTGTTATATTTCGATTTAATCGCAAAATAATACGAAAATGCTTCTTCATCTTCTTATTATTTCAGCTGTTAAATTTAGATTCCGTGGCTGATCATAATAAGTATAATTGCTTTCATTTCAACATAATCTTTATTACAATTTTAAATTTCCTTAAATTTATAACACTTTAAGTATTCCAATGACATCAAGCACTTGAAATTCATCCCAAAATGTTGATAAAGTAAAATAATTCCAATACTCAGGATTTATTCAACTTTTGCGTCTCTAAACTCACCTTTTGTGAAGAAAGTTGAGAGCATCTTAAATCCGAGCTTTTGAATCAACACGAGACGCTCTAAGCTTCTCGCTTACGATGAATTAAACATTCACTCTCTCCCATGGCAAATGGAATACAATCCTTGGGTCTTTCTCCACGATTCATTTCCATCAATTAAGGTTGAGCTAAAATAATTGATGCAAGGCACACAAACATTGGATATCACTTTATAATTACATACATTGACTGGAGGCTATCAATTTGTGGATAAATAATCAATTGCATGGTCAGACGGTTTGGGTTGATTTTGTGGCGATTTGGGTCTTCTATTTAAGCACCACTCCTCCATTTATTAATAATGAGGTGTTATTTGTCTAGAGAGGGACAAATCTGGCTGTAATTTGCCACTAAAAATGTACATGCTATCGGCTTTTCATTACACATTTTCTCCCCGTATCGTACCCCAATATTAATAATCATCGGTTGAAATTGTGGCCGTATTGATTTCGATATGGTGTGGATTACTGTTGGGCAAACGGATGGTAAAGTAGTGATTTTATTTGTGGCGAAAGCTCAGCATTTGCCAATTTAAAAAGCTCTGCGGTGTGAAATGTGGAAAACGTCAATTGAAAAAGAGGAGTTCTCGTTTCTAATGGATTGCCTGGATATCTTTATTTCGTCCACTTATCTACATGTTTCGATCATTCATTAAAACAACTTTTCTCTTCCTTCTCCTTATGAGGATGGGCGTCGGTTTGCGAGAGGGCGCGCATTTTTTTTCTTTGCTCTCCTCTGCATATCTCTCCACAAGAGTGGCGCGGGGATTAATTAAGAAATCTGGTATTTACAGAAAGTTTTAGAGCTGTACGGAGAATTATCTCTAAAATATACGTTATGTGTGATATAAACACGGAGGGTGGATGTAAAACTTCCCTCCTAAATAATTCATTTTACACTGCCTCTCACAAATCCTCACCAAGTTGTGCAATTTTGTTAATTATGTGCAGCATATCTGATTTCTCGAGGGATGAATTCTGGAGGACGAGCCGGAAAAAATTGGGCTTCTGCCTCAGTGGCTGGTATGTGATCATCATGGAGCCCTCCTTCATCATGCGCTCCTTAATTTTCGGCGCCACTTTGTGCAACTTGGCCCAGAACTCGTCGTCACGCGGGCACCCCCGCAGGCTGGGCGGCAGGTACCAGAAGCACACATTCGTGCACTCTGGCTGCTCCACGACCATCTCGAAGTCGCTCCGCTGGCGAATTTGCTCGGTGAAGTGCTCAGCCATCTCGAAGACCCTCTCCGCGTGCCGCTGCAGGCCGCTCGTGCCCTTCGCCTTCCACATCAACCAGAACTTGAAGACATCGGCACGACGCCCGCACTGGATGTGCTTGTCACCAGTGTCATACTTAGTGTCGTAGAATTTGTCCTTTTGAAACAGATATGACGCATTACAGGAATGGCATTGCTTCAGCAGATTAGCGTGCCGAGTGAGGAATGTCGAGCACTGTTGAGGTGCTGCCAATAATTTATGTGGATTCCATGTCACTGAGTCAGCCCTGAAACAAAGTAAAGCACACAGGATCAACACACTTGCTTCATCCTCGGGCAAGAAAAGCTCTCTCTCTCTCTCGCTCCCGTGGGAGCTTTTTGGCACCGGGTTTGCGATATTTCGCAATTCAGGGGCTTGCTAGTGAAGTCAAAAATCACGAAAATCGGATGATTCTATTGACTACTTCGGCTAAAAATATTTGTAAAACCTCTAGTTTGTGTTTCAAAACTCTCTTTGAAATCCGTAACAACTGAAACTGGGTGTCTATTTTTGGAAATAGTTTAATAAAATTAAGCTCTTTATCGAGCAAAAGCTGTGTCAACTCCAAAAAGCCATCCAAAAGTTGCCCTTTTGCAGCATTTGCATGCGAAAAGCTCTCTCTTTCTCTCTCCCTCTCTCTGGTGAGATGGCGAAGAATAATGGTGTGGATTTCATCTTCACATCAATGCTAATCCATCGACATAATTTGGCTGTGGAGCGAATGCACTGAGATGCATAGCATGTGGTGGAAAAGCTGCCCTGAGTTGCTCACCCCTCGGCGCCGCCGGGCGATAAATCATATTTGACACGGTGATTGGATAAATGGCATGAGGGGATCAATTTAAAACTAATTTATTGCTTCACTATCGCGCGGAGTTACGAAAATGGGTGCACTTGAAATTTGAAAATATGGCCAACACAGAGGAGAGCGAGAAGAGTGGTTAAGGTTGAGGAAAAATGTGACGTTGCCAAGAAAATGGTGTTTTGTGCAGGAAGTTACATCTCAACCGGAATCGGGCGGCCCGGGCCTTGGCATTTCCACACGCCTTCTCGTGGCCAAATTGTCGGTTAAAGTAATTGACACCTCTTTTCTCTGGTCATAACAGTCATGACGGTGGGAACTCACCTTTCAATTCCGGCTAGGAGTGTGCGATATTTGGGGGAAACCAGTGCTCCGCCACCCCAAGCGGCGTCCACATGGAACCAGAGCTGGTATTTCTCGCACAGGTTGGCAATTTCGGTGAGTGGATCGAACGCCCCGAGCACTGTCGTACCTGCCGTTGCTGATACCATAAATGGGTGGCCACCTTCACATTTAGCACGCAAAATCTCGCTCTCCAAATGATCCATTTGCATTTTACCACATGCATCTGTACGTATTGAGTACACATTATTGGCACCGATACCCATAAATGAGGCCAACTTCTGAATAGAATAGTGAGCATCCTCGGATGTGAACAACACCAAACGTGGCATTGCGTGAAGTCCTTTGGCCTGTGGAATTTTCAACATTACAATACATTTATTACGTTGCATTCTGCCATATGGGGCGGATTATCAATTCAATCAATTTACACAGTGCTCAATTGCAACCATTATTTCAATTGAAAAGCTCCACCCTAGATTTATGCTGGCCGTGTGGAGAACGGCTTATCAGATTTTATTCAGGGGAATTTTAAGGGTGATTGAATTACACTCCAAGAGTGCATTGAATACAATTTCACGCGATCGCTTTTCCCATGAATTTCTCATTGTGTTTCATTATATAGTGTTGATCATTTCTCCTGATGCATTTTCCGCGTCATTTTGCAATAATAAATGTCACAGTGGAAATGTATCGATTTATACGGTGAACTTCTGGATTCTTCGGAAGGAGGGGGCTTTCAATTGAAATTCAGGGGCATTTTGTCATTGAGCGGGGCTCGAATTACCTTCACATCTGGCATATTTTTGTATCTTGCGCAACTAATTGCATATCCGTTTGCAATTGAGCCGCCAGGCGCGAAAATACCATCGCCCTCGCCATTGGGAAAGCCAACGATGCGTCTCAACTCGCGCAGCACCACTTCCTCCATCAGGGTGAACACGGGGGCCACTTCGTACGTGTACACGCTGGGGTTGAGGGCGTCCGTCACCCACTGTCCGGCCAGAGCGTACGGGTCCACAGTGGAGAAGAGCTGGTTGACAAAGTACGGGTGGCCCGTCTTCACGGAGTACTTAATCGTCTGCCGGATGTGCTCCAGCAATTGGCTGTCCGACTCGCCATCCGTGGACAGGTCGAGATTGAGTGTAGCGGCGAGATCCTCTGGATTGCGCCACTCCAGGACCTTGTTCGCCTTGTCAGTGCCACTGAAGATGGCCTTCTCCAGCAACTCCTCGATGCACTCCCTCAGGAAATGCTCATGAGTCCTATTTGTCTGGCTCTGATACCGTGAATCCTCCTGTGCGCCGCACGGCACTCGATTCGTCTTGATTGCACCGAACTTGTGTTCACCATCACGATGGGCAAACTCCTCATCCTCCTCAGACAATCCAGCACTCTCTGAACCACTAGACACATGGAAGTCCTCCACTGTTTGCACATCCACGTTGAATTGGTCGTTTGCAGGCATCTTGTCGTCTGATTTCCTCCTCTCACGTTCACAAGATAATAACGGCAGAATGGTAATCACGAAATGCCCTCTCACACGACACACCACACACTTGCCAAAAAAAACACAGAGCTCGCAACTCCTCAACCGTCGATGCACACCGGGAATGAGTTGATCAGCGACTAAACTATTTAAGTAAATGCTTGGCTACTTATAAATACCCCGCAATCATCGAATCCCAACTATTTAACACTTTTTCTCTCACCGCCAACGACGGACAAGGTGATTTCCAACGGAAGATTGATATATAAAATTGCTTTAATTACACACACACAGCGAGTCTCTTGGTATTTCTCACCATCAGTTGGGTGGGGGCCTGGGGAAGGCCTTGCAATGACTAACCGCACTCAAAATCTCTATTCAACTTTTTTGCCGCTTTCTGCCTCATTTCTCAATCGATACTATCGGCTAGATTGTGCATTTTACATACAAAATTGCCCCTCAACATTCTCGTCATGCCAATTATGTCAGTAAAACTGTGCACTTCTAGGTTTCCTATAGTAATTTTTCTTTGTTAGAGTGTCGCTCAGGAGAGATGCAACAAGGAGGCGAAAATCTCAGCTGAGCACGACGGACAAAGACACGATGAAAGACCAATACTTCCGACTTTTAATTGGCTTTAGAGATTGAGACAGAATTGTTTGAATTTTTTGCATTCGTCCACACTAAAGACACTTGAGAGTGCATCATTAGGAAACTGCATAGAGCAATAGAATAGAATGGAGCCAATGTGTAGAGGAGAGAGGGGATCATTTTGGGCAGGATGAATTTCACCACTGATGCAAACTGATAGATAATTGGAAATGCATAAAATTCTAATTATGGTGTTCTATGAGAACAATATAAACAAAACTCAATTAATTCGCAAAAGTGAGAGGAATTGGTTTCTTCACAAAATTTATGTACAGACGTAAAAGCAAAAGTAGGAGGTTTAGAAGGTGTGTGTGTTTGTGCAAAAACTGAAACAAATGGAACAATCCGTTTTAGTTGGGCAAAGAAAAAATTCCCGGGAGACATGAGAGCTTAAATTGGTGTCCAAAGTGCACTTGCTCTTCGCTATTAAAGCGGGGAGTTCATCTTCTCAGCTCTGTTGCATTCTTCGGTGTTGGATTTTTTGGCAAGCACAGTTCATTGAGAAACTCTCAAGAGCCATTCTGAGAAATTGACTCTCCTATATTTGTGCTTATATAGTCACGATGATGGGCGAGCGCCAATATGTTGAAGTGGTAAATTTGCAATAATTCATCTCAATTGCATCAACTTTCCACAGGATCCTAATTCGAGGGGTTGGAATGTGATTTTTCCCACACCGACGGAAAGCACCGCGTGTAATCCTTCGCGTTCGATGACTACAGACGAAATATAGACGCGGTGTCGCCGTAAATACTGTTTATATGCTATGTACCACTGTGATTTACTACTAGTGTCTGTATAAATAAACATAAAATTAATGGATGCTATACGGATTATATGTGAGCATCTCACAGCGATTTCTGTGCCAATTTTCCCGCATTAACTGGTTGTCTGTTGACGTCAGTAAATTGCAGAGAATCAGAATGGGAAAATCCACCGAAAATATGTACATAAAGTGTGCCGCCAAATGTCTCCAAGACGTCGCGCTGTCGTTGGAATAAAAATCAGTCAAGGGTGAAAGGGACATTTTAGCACATTATATCGAGCTGTGGAAATCAGTGCGTCTGCGGGGAATATCCAAAAAGAGACACTACGTCACATGATAAAATGCCATGCGAATTAATTGATAAGCTGGAAGCCGTGGCATTTTTTTGCTGGACGCGCACGGGGAAAAACATTACAGAAGATATGACTCAACATGAAGCACATATCTAAATGTGTATCTATGTTTTTGTCTGTGCAAAAGACGCGTCGTTAAAGTTTCATGTTCTCGGCGTGGGCGTGAGTTGAGACATTCATAGATAAAGTTTTCTTGTATGCATTTTTTTCCTTTATTTTATACCATTCTCAAAATATATAATCTTATCACTTCGCTTATAAGTAACTCTCTGTATGCTCTTTGTCTGTATACTTTAGATTCCCAGTGTTTACATTTTCCAACATGCCTCACAATTAGCCTCCCGTTGTGTTTTCACGCTTTAACAGTTCGCGTGAAATGGCTCAGTATGAAAAATTGAAGGAGACCATTTGAAAAGCTCCTCCATAATTTATGCTCTCAATTTAGCGGCCTTGCACTGTTCGATGCCAGAGCAAAAAATCTGCAACTAATGCAGCTTTTTTCATCACTCCCAATATACAGACTCAACTCTGCGACAGTCTTAATCACACACGGTTTATTTTCATGACAGAGCGATCTTTGGCATCGCAATAACTGACAATAAACCATATAAACTACCCGAATATAACGTGAAGCCGGGTTTTTGACGTGCCATGGGGAACTTTTTATGACTCTGCCAAACGATTCACTTGCATTCATGCTAATATTCATGGTTTCAATTCGATATAACACTGTGTTGAGGAGCGTTTTGTTACAATTCTCGATTCCATGGGAGAAATGAGGGGATTTTACATCACAAGTGTGACTTTGAACAGACTTTTATGCATGTGATTCCACCAATTTGCGGCCTCGCTTTGTCGTGTTTTTTTTTTTACAAAACACTTTACATGATTTTCAGGTGGTCTTTTGAGCAGTATGGAAAAGACATCTCTTGACTGTGTCAATGACACAATCACACTTTATATAAAAAACTTAAGGCACGTGCCATTATTTACACAGCATAATCAATATAACATTTGGTATGTATATGATATTCTGATTTCTAACTTATAGAGTGGCTCTTTGAGAAATATCGCAGTGAATGCAGAATAGTTTTGTGCTCTGTTCATCATGCAAAATCCATTTGTGCGCCAGAATATTTCCCTTTTTCTGGCCATGCAGGACTTCGTGCCTCCCGGAGATGAATGAGCTAATTAAAATTGGGCACCGCAATTTGTGCAGCGCTTTTCTTTCATGCACAAGCAGCAGAGGATGCCGATGGGAAATAGGAAAATGGCACAGCAAATACCACAGCATGTGTAATCTTCCTCCAGCCTCCCGATGCGACACATCGGGCATCCTCCAACAACAATTATCTCCTGCGGTATAGTGATGGTCGTCGATGTGGTGACGGTCTCGCCGATGGTGCCGTAGCCCGGGGGCATCTGGGGCGCCGTGGGCAGCGTTGGGTAGTACTGGGGCATCGGCGCGGGTCCCACTGGAAGCCACAAGATATTTCCTCAGAGCTTCTGACACTCGCGCGACAAAGGAATATTACTCACGGGCTGGCTGGCTGGTCACTGTCGTCTGCATCGCCTCCACATAGGACGGGGGCGCATCCTGGATCTCACGCTTCTCCATCACTTTCGACTTTTTCCCCGAAATATCCAGCAATTTATCACACTTGAGTCACCCAGAGGAAATAATCTGCGTACGCCTGTGTCAGTGGCAGTTGTCACGTCTTGCCCAAGTATTGCCTGATGTTTTCGACAACTTTCGAGCCATTTGAACTCCACATTCAGGCGATTTTTTCTCTCAATTCCTTATCACGCCCCGGGGCGACGGTCTTGATTTGAATTTCATCGTGAATCCGCCAGTACGTGCAGTGATGTTTCGGGGGATGTTACGGGCTCTCTGGACTGTGACAGAGTGAATGATTTTCCGGTGAAAAATGATTTTTCGCTGCAAATTGAATTTTTCCCGCCTTCAGTGTGCCAAATGAACGCCAAGGGGAAATTATCTGGCATTGATGACACATTGCTAAGCTCACAGCAATCACATTGGTTGGTTTCCTGAATTTCCTGACGGATCGTAACAAGATCACGGCGCAGAATTTATCCGCAATTTGTATTCCGATCGACCATTTATTCATATGAGCATAATTTTTTCTTGTTGTGTTTACATAATAATTGTCAAATTAAATTGTCCTCATCACGCTCTGCAAATGTAAATTTGACATGGGTGAAAGAAAAAAAAGGCTGTCAATTTATATTAACAGCCCCTTGTCCTTTTTCTACCCATGTCAAATGTACATTAGTACAATACTATTAGAATAATTTAATTCCATAACTGTAGGCAGTTTTGTACTGTGATAACTTCCTTAAAAATCTGCAATGATCAAGGCAAATTGCTGATGAAATTCAGCATGTTTTTGCTTTATCTAAACTACATTTAAGCTATTGCCTGTTGATTGCACATTGCTCGTATCTGCAAATATTTATCCCTTGGCAAATGAAGTGATTTGTGCGATTTGTTTTTCTGTGAAAGGCTCAATATTGATTTATAGGACTTTAAAAATGTATTCATCATGTGTGTGATCTAAAGGTTTGAATAAACCACAAACATGTTTTCGATTTTAATTTAGAAAATTGCAATATCAAATATGCGTTTATTCGCAGATATTTGCGATATTTGTAAATACGACCAATTCGCAGATTAAATTCGCTATCCTTTTCCTGTATTTTCCCACTGCAATATTTGCCCACCTGTATTTATTTTACAAATATTGTGTTTGACATGGAGGAAAAAATGCACATTTTTCTGGCTTGAAACATATTGTTGAGAGCCAAATAGCCTGTAGAGACGGCAAAAGTTTGCCAGAATTATCTATCCCAAATTAAAAGTGTGTACGTAACACAGATATTGTATACATATGTACTCTCGATTTAATTGGCGCTCTTGCTAGGGTTATAATTTCAAATGAAACGGGAGGTTGTGGCTACTTGTGGGGAGATAAATAACTATATTAGGGAGTTAGAAGTTTTGGGTTAAAGTTTATTGGTTATACCATTGTTTTCTCAATAAATTAAAAAGCCAAGTGAGTTGGGTGGGAAAGTCAGTCGATGTGACGGAAATTCAAATGGTACGAAATTTAATTATGCGTTAACATCTCGATAGAACTTTCTGTTTTGTTTTGGTGGGGGAGTTTACACACCCACACACATAGGACTGAAGTTTACTTGTGGGGTGTTCTGATACATTTTAAATTATTCATAACATTCATTTCGCAACCTTTGCGAATAGTAGGAAAATATGCCATGACACTGGGTGGCGCGGAATGGTGAATTCCGGCGACATGAAGAGTCTTCGCGGGGAAAAGTTGCAAAATGTAAATAAAAAGTACTCTCTTGGACGGCTTTATGGAGAAAATATTTTTTATATTATTCACTAGCACGACAATCCCCTGAAAATCAGCATTTTTACAGTTGCGACTCGGACAAAAAACACTCGTGGTACTCACTGTGGATTAGTATTCCGCGGATTTATGTGACTGTGTCGAAAAAAGCGCCATGAGTGCACGATAAAAGCCCTTGAGTTTGCCAAACACAGTGATTTTCATCCTGCACAATGGCGAGATAGTGAGGAATTCAATAGACATAGAGAGAGAGGATATCAGAGCCCAAGAATGCTTTCAATTGCCTAAATTGTTGTAGATCAATATTTGCATAACAATGGGAGATTCTGGCTGAAATAGGTCATCGATTTGATTGAGACACTTTCGTGGGGATATGTGAAAATCACCGATTCCAAATATCTCTTTCCTCTCGCACTTCTTATCCGCTAAACTCTCACCACTGCAGCGCCGAGGTGTGGAAGAGAAATTAACTTTTTCGCAGCATCTGCCACTTATAATTGCCGTGTCTATTAAAGTCTTTTAGGGAGAGGAAATCGTGTTAAAAGTTTTTTCTGCGCTGCATTTCGCCCTGAAAAGTCAAGATGAATTACTGCAGAAAACAATTAGGTTGCACTTTTGGGAGGCGGAGAACCTCTTCGGCGTCCTATTTTAATTTAATCACCCCGTCATACCTCATTACCGAGCCTCCTATGGCCCAAGCTGTAATTGTTGATAACGCAGCATTGCAAGATAGTCCACTTCACTGGGCTTAATTCAATATGCAGGCGAGGGCGAGGGAATCCGTGTGTGAATCGATCAACGTAATGGCTTTATTAGTAATCTGGACTAGTCCTCTTGTGGGGGCGGCGATAACTAGTCAGATCGGAATAGCTCATCGTCATTCCTGGGATTATTCGTGGAATCGTCACTGGGCGTCTGTCCCTTTGCAGGACTCCCATCGGATAGAATGTTGCGATTAGTGCAATTGAAAGTGACAAATGCAGCCACATTACTCTTTGTCTAATTGCAAAGTTGAGACGTACAGATTGTTTACAAATTCAACTGGGATTGAGTCGCAGCTTTGCCATCCATCTCGATGGGTAATTAATGTAGAAATTGTGCAAATTTCGCATATTTGCCTGTTTGGATAATATATGCCGATTTTGCAAACGCAATGTTAACCATGGTAAGCACAATATTGGCAAGAACTTTTCACACACACACACTGTGTCTCAAATACCAGGGTAGTTTGACATAACATCATTTATTTTCGATGACAACAAACACTATGGAAATACCATTATTTTAATTGAATTGAATAAATTGATGATTTTAATGTACGGGAAAAAGACACTCAAATTAAGCAATTTTGTAAGCCAAAGTGACTGACATGGAATGCCATTCAAACTTCTCTAAATCGCAAAACTATCTATAGGGTGAAATTTTCACTAACACACTTCCAATTAAAAATGAATAAAGTAATTAGAAAATTGAATTTGCTTCTCAAATTCCAGTGTATTCAATTTAATTAATATACATAGAATATTTTGGTAATGCTTTTCCAGCTAGATAAGTATAGATTTATGCTTTTTGCATTATTATCTGTTTGACCTAATTAAATAAATTTCCCATCCTCACAGAGTGTGTATTTTCACATTTCAAGTGCATCACAGCAGCTGAGATTATACTCAAAGTTTCATTGAAGCCTCACACAAGGCGAAAATCTGCATAAATATATTTCTCGTACTTTATGCTTCTGCACTCTGAAGATGTTCCTTCTTTTCAAACACTAAGTGTATGTAAATTGAAAACAGCGGCTAAGAAATGTGCAAAAATATTTGTCCTCCCCCTCCTCATAACACCCACCATCTCGAGTGCGATGGAAAATAGGTGAAAATCCCAAGATAATGCGGAGTGTCGAGTGGAAAATCAATAGTGCGATATTGTCTTAAGAAGGTAAATTTTCATTCTTTTCCTCCTCCACTCAATTTGCCACGTGAAATATTCAACGATGCCACGCATTTTCGTTTGCACACTCGTAATTATATTATATCACAATGTTAAAATAAAAAGAATGTACTATAATGGGGTCGGGGGGGGGGGGCCGAGGATGAGTCCCTCCTTGTTCTACGATAAGCCGCCTCGTGTGTTGTGATGGCACAGGAAAGTAATAAGGAGTTAAAAAAAATTAAGTTACCATATTTGCCATGGCAGAGAACTTTGTAGGAGAGAATATGCGAAAGAAGAGAATAACCCATGAAAAAGTCATATAATTTTCGCCAAATTTGGGGTAATGTCCCCTTTTTTCTTGCCTCAGTTACTCGCCTCTTCTGCCATGGTCTCACCTCCAGAGAGTGGCGAATTATATAGTAAATTTTATGCTGAAATTGAGTTGAAGGAAATGAAGGGGAAATAATGCTTGGAAAAAAGTTTCCTTCGGTGCGAGAATGTGCGTATTTTTAATGAATTTTATTTTTATCATGGGTGAATATTTGTAATTAGACGAAAATTGGGCAAATCCTAACCATTCTCTTCTTTACCTTCTCTTTGCAGGCAAGTCAAGTCAATCTTCGGACTCAAAGGCGGAGTACAACAATGGTGAGACTCCATTTCTTCACTCTCTAGAAAGAATTTCCTAAGTAGAATTAAGCACGGAACAGCGGCTTTAAGAAGTCTCGGCGTGTATAATATTTTTCGTTGAGAATTTAAGTATGATTAAGTTGCGGTGGAAATACCTTCAGCAATATAAAAATATCATTAATCACCTTATTTAAATAATGTTTTCGTAATTCTGCTTGTGATCTCTGAATCATTTACCACCTCTCCAGTGTGTTCACACATTGTTCATAATAATGTTATTTAGCAGCGAGGGTGTGAGAACACCCGTACGTGGTGGAAGAAAATTAATTATGTTGGAAAGAAAAAATTATAGTCTTGTGTATACTTTCTCCTCTCCCGCCACTCCCTCCCCATATATTGCCAGCATGCGGGTTTATTTAATATCTCCAACCATTACAGCATATTTTGCGGTTATATAAAACTCCCACTGTACAAGACGTTGAACATCCTCTTGCAAATCGCATTGCAAAAGGATTGTTGGCACAGGAAGACTGGGCGGCGGGGGAAGGTAAGAAGAAAAGCTGGGCGTCATTATGCATTTCCTTCCACGATGTTTGATCTGCTGAGAAAATATTCCTGAGACGGCGAAAGATGACTCTTTGTCAGAGACTTGGAGAGCTTATCTTTTTGAGAGTCTGCAAAATGTCAAAAGAAATCAATCGACAGAGTCAAATTTGAATTCACGACATGGCTATGGATTCCGAGGGGATTTTTCGATTAAAAGGAGCGCATCTTGTTGATATTATGCCAATAATCTCAGAATCGATGTCATATTTCTATTTATTTACGCAAAATCTCCGTTTCCCTGCAAACGAACATATGTCATTCAGCAGGGAATTGAGCAAATCTCTGCACATCATGTCATATTTTAAGTTTTTATTGCTCGTATAGGAGATTAATTAATATGACAGCTACATTTTCCTTCAGAACATTCAGCGTGTCATTGCAAAAGTTTCTCTCATTTTTTGACTTTTTGGGTACTTTTTGCCGTGAGACACTTCAGAGACTGAATGAAGTTAAATAAACATCTCCGCACTCACAAATTCCCATGTCGGGAAATTAAGAATTAAGCAGAAATCCTCGTCTGCTTGTCTCTGAGGCGCACAATATCTGTCATCTTCATTGAAATATAATAAGTCAAAGGTCAAAGTGTACACGACGTATAATTGAGTGTGTAGTAAAATATTCCATCAAGTGTAACACGGTAATTGAGTTCTTGGGGTAAATGTGAATTAAATTATATGGATATGCTGGTTCTTTTTTCCTCATCCACCCACCATTGCGCCCTGCCATTCATCCCGTCATACTTCCTGTTACACTTGTACATCCTCTGACTCGGTGCGAGTTGTTGAAATATTTGCTTGATGTACGACAAAAATGCGAGTTTAATTTAATTTGGCTTGAGTATACTGCCGAGCCAAGTTAATACCCATCTCATCCGTGCACTTGAAAATTCTTTGTGCATGCCTTTCATCAAACCTTATTTTTTAACAGCGAATTGCCAACGACCCAATTTGAGGGCCACACAACATCATAGGCAAAATCTCCTCTCGTCTGATGGTTGAGGAGTCTATTAGACGGCGTGGAGAGTGTATGAAATGGAATCTCCAATTTTCTAAAGGGAATCAATTTATATCAAGGCAGTATGAATTTATGTAGCACATAGAGATATCTATAACATGATTTTGATGAATAAATTCCACACAATTTATATGCAAATTTGATGATTCGTAATATTCATCAGGGATTCTGTTCTAGACAGTGTAAATATATGGATGGGAAACCACAGTCATATACTCAACTTCTTCACCATCCCACACGCACAATATTTTCTTCACTCTTGCGCCAACAAGTATATGAAAACATTATTCATAACTAGGTTTTTTCCCGTCTCCTGCCAACGAGGCGAACCGTCTTCTATCCATAAGAAACTCCTCTGCGATTTATACGGAGCATATTGAAATAAATTCGCCCTGATTGACTCAATTTACATACATACTCTCTCCTCTCGAGCACTCTCGAGAACCATTCATCATATTTTTAATATGATCGCAATACAAGTTCAGTCACACTCTCGAGCTCCGGCACAAGCCCGAGGGGCTCGGAAAATGTATATAAATATTTAGATACGTGATTTTGGCTAATAATGATGAGTTAACAATGTTTTATGACGAAGGGTGGCTTAATGAATTTTGCCATTTCACGAGTGCGGGACGCCAGAGCTTTTTTATTAGCCACCCTCCAGCCCAGAAGAGCGCGCAAAGCGAACGGCTTACGGCAAAAAAGCTCATTTGCAGTGTGATTGAGAACGACCGAAATTCCGTTCGACCGAGCAAGAAATTAAAATCTGAGCGAGAGAATTTTATGAAACACCCCAAAAATAGTAATATATTAATCGATTCTCTGACTTTTTTCATCCACTGCTCTACGATTCACACAAAACAAATCTATTGATCCAGAGTGAAAATTGCAAAGTGGGCGTTGAGAAAGTTGGGTGGGAAAATGTTCAATAAAATTTGGGCACTTTTTCCAATATTCAAATGTGTCATAAAACAAAATTGCATTGTTCAAAGGCGCGTTAATAAACCAATAGGATAAGATTTATTTCTACAATTTCCCCACTCTTTTCTTGAATTAGAAGACAGTCTGTTTCTGGCAGAGTATTTTTACATTCCATTTTTCCACAACTCGGGGGCTTTTCTCGCCCAAAATCCACTGAGAAGAGCTCTCCCATTCTGTGGAAAAGTCTGTGAGATTTAGAAAATCCAAAAGAGCCTTGTTTCAAAGTCTCTGTCTAATGTGAAAATCCTCAGAGTGGATATTAAGGATAAAATTTATCTCTGCCGGAATTCACTCTATTTATCCATCCAACTTGCTTCTCAACTGCTTTGAATTGTCTTAACGACCACCTTCATGAGAGAATGCAATTAAGTAAAATGATTTGTTAAAATTCAACTCTTTGCAGAGCTCAACTTTCCGCGCTTCGCCGAACCCATTCCAAATATCACCGTGTCAGTGGGTCGTGATGCACTTCTGGCGTGTGTTGTGGATAATCTGAAGGGCTACAAGGTAAGAAAATCCTATTTAGCAATGCACTCGCTCAATTTTTCACAAGCCAGTCATCATCAATCATCGCCGGAGTGGTGATGAAATTAAGAGAATGACGTTGAAATTGAATGTGCGGCATGGTGTGGGGCTGTGTAAATACGGGCGAGGATGTTTCACAAATCATCCCCGGTATTCTTGTCACGTCTGGAGTTTTCATTGAATTGTTCAATAGGTACTTTATTGTTAAAGTTTATAGATATGTGTCAATAAAGTGTTCAGTTGATTTATCAGTGATAGAGTGGAGATTTTTGTCCCCTCCAAAAAGAACAACTTTAAACTGCGGAGATTGGAAAATGCATGTGAAAAAGGGAGCGCAGTAATTGCGAAATGATTTTTCCAGTGCGGAACACGCACGGGGAGGGGGATGTGCGAGAGTCACCCTCAGAAAGTGGATGGAATCATGTCATTGAGTATGATTTTGATAAATCTCTTTGAAATGTCACTGAAAGAACCATAAATCATCTCCAAAAATAAAATATCATAAATTTTCAATAAATTGTTATTCTATTACGTACCAGAAATCGATTGTTTTCTCTTTTGTAGTGACTATGGATAGCATGTACACGATGGAGAATTTTCCATCCACGCCACGTTCTCCACACATATCGTCAATATAATAATTTTCTATTTTATTTTTGCGAAAATGCTTGTATCTGGCTGTCTGGCTGTGGTTTTTGCACCATTAATGGGATGGGAGGAAGAAATACAATACATATGTACATACATTTGTTGTTTATTGACATGATATATTTCAATATGGAGCAATTTTTCTTTCATAGACAGAACACAAAAAGCATACGACTATAGTGAAAGAAAAGTGGTGGAATAGGAATATAGAGGGAAATTTTGCGCGCATATTTTGCGATGGTTCTTTCATTTGTGCAAAAAGGAATATTGCTTTTGATATTGTTGAGTTTTTGCGCTCGTCTTCTTTGTCATACACACGCAATATGTGTGTTCTCCATCTCAAAATTGGAAGAGGGAAGAGCTTCGGTAAAGGTTTAACAATGTTCTATCCCTTTTTCTTGTTCTACCCCTGCCACCGGAGCACACCCTTAATGCCGCTGTTCAAAAGGTGTGCCTTTTGCAATTTACTTTGAGGATATTTAAAAGGCAACGAGAAGAAAGACGCGCAATGTAATTTTTGTGTATTTTCAATCTGCAAAAAACAGCCCTCTTCTCGTAACTTCAAAAACATATTTGGCATATTTTCACACAAAATTCTCACTTTGGGAATTAAGACACTGAAGCGCTTCACGTTTGCGACAGCGGAGAAAATTTATGGAATTTCTGATCCAGAGAAGAGCGCAGAACCTGAGAGTGGAGAAAGAATAACGAAATGACAAAGTAAATTTGCATGAATCCATTGACTTCTCAACCTGAAGTGGGATGAGAAGGGGAGAAAAAGCACCTCGTAATTATGATGGATTGGTGCGAGTTAAATTAACTAAATTATTCCTGTACTTTCCACCTACTTTGTGCATTGTGTGAGCTTCTCAATTTCTTTTGATTCCAGGGTAAAAACTCACGTAAGAGCGGAGTAGAAAAAAAGTATACAGAGGGAGAATGTTATGTATTTATTAAATTAGTATACTTCCCTCCACTTTGCATACAAACCCCTCAATTCTCCTCTACTCTGGCCTCACTTCTGAGGGAAAGTGAGTGGATCATTTTAACATAATTGAACTAACACACTCTTCTGCCCTGCTTTAAATTCAAAATATGAAGACTCTATGGTGGAAATGTCGGCAAATTTCCACCAAATTTCCCGTTTTAAGGTTAGCACACAGTGGCTTGCACATTTATGTACACAATTCAAAAATTTATAGAGGATTACTTATGCATAGAAGTAAATGTAATGAAACTTTGTGGAGCCAATATTTATCTCAAAGCGAAAGTCACAGATCAATTGCAAATCGGAAGTAAATTAAGCATATAATTTAGTGTGTTAATAAATCACAACCATCCTGGTTTCGGTCCTATAAACTCCTAAACCACTGTACTTTAACTGTTCATTTGAATATGGGCCATGCAGGTCATGCGTGCATATTTCATCAAGCTTTTTTGCATATTTATTTGACGAATATTCAGTTAGATTATGATCAGCAAATTTCTGTGAAAACTCTCTCCGCTATAGAATTTATCCAACGAACGAGCATGAATTCACTCTAAAAGGGTAGCTCTCTCCACCCTGTGAATCACCCGAACTTGCTCTCTATCATCTCTAATTTATCTTTTATGTAAATTTAATTTGTTACCTAATTTAGTGTTATTATAATTCATTTTGATAAAAGCGCACAACAATGAATTTGTTGTCTAAGGGGTGAAGCGTGGAATGATGAAGAAATAAAATGTCACACCAGACTTTATCCTCTCGTCTCCACTGTGAAAATACGAGGAGGGGTGAAATGCTATGAATATTTTTACAGTCATTCCATTGTCATGTTTTGTGTTGCTGCTGGTGTAGGGGAGCAGTATATCTATGTATGGCCTGTGTTGGGGGGCGAATGAGCGAGAGAGGAAATTTTATATGCAGAATCGCATTTTCTTTTATCATCTTGCATCAGGAGCAAAAGAGATACGCATATATATTTGTTTGAATATATTTACATGAACTGTAGCATTCCTGGGGCTTGTGTGCGGGTGTTCTGGGCAATTTGGGGCGATGGGCGAAAGGGCGAGAGGGGCGGGTGGGTGGCGAATGAAAACTTTTATGAGAGACACTTTGCATAAGCGTAAAAGTTTGATTGTTGTAATTGTTGTAGAATGGATTTACATTCCTATAGTCTCTCACTTTGGCAAATTTTTCCGTTGCACAGAGCACAAGATATATAAAATTTATACGCTGTCTATATGATGTACATAGTTAGTGGTGTTTGAGTGGATTCTTGTCTCTCACTTCTTCCCATGTTATTTCGTGCACTTTCAGGTGGCATGGGTTCGAGTGGATACCCAGACAATTCTATCCATTCATCACAACGTCATCACGCAAAATCCCAGGATTACGCTCTCCTACAACGATCACAGATCGTGGTATCTGCAGATAAAGGAGGTGGAGGAGAACGACAGAGGGTGGTACATGTGCCAAATCAACACAGATCCCATGCGATCGAGGAAAGGCTACCTGCAGGTCGTCGGTGAGTATTTTCCGGGCGCATATTTCCTCTGTGTCCCGCCCAATGGCGTGTATATTGGGATGCATTCACATCGCTTTTGGGGATAGACACAGAAATAAAGGGCAAAGTGCTCGTCTGGCACTTTCAATGTGTCCAGTACTAATAAATACAGGTGAATGCACATTTTTAATCCATCGTGTTCAATTTTACAAACCATCTCTGTGTATTGGTAAAATGTGGTGCAAATATTGAGAGTGCGAGAAAAATTTAAAGTATACTTGATCAATTCTATGAATTGTCTTGTGAGTCGTGCATCTTTATCTTCAAGATCATGTACAAAAATTGAGTATACAACGCTGAACACTGACGAATTTTGTTGCATTTGTGATGTCAGTTTCCATCATAGCAATTTCTTGCCTACTTGAAAAGCACTTCACTCCTTTGTGCAATCGCAAAAGCCGCTGAAATGATGATTTTCCTAAGTATGAAAAGAATCACATAAGAATGACGATGAAACAAATGTGGAAACACTTCTCTTTTAAATTCACGCTCACATGATTGCACGTTATGGAGTATACTTTATGTTATATGAAGTATATGTCTCTGACATTTTCTGGTACTCAATTAAAATATAAATTGGTTATTTTCACAGAAACTACCACAAAATGACTCAAGCTCAATTGTGTCTTTTTAGCCCTTTTTAGCATAATAAATTGATTTCAACTTCACAGCCTTTTATAGAGTTTAAAAGGAATTCTGTAAAGTTTGTCGCAATCCATTGAAGAAGAACTTTTTTACTTCCTTATTTACAATGCAATTATTTTTGCCACCATCACACTAACTTCTAACTATTTTAGGAGGTGTGACGAAACGAATGCCTCCCACTGAACGTCACCCAAAAGAAGCATCCTGAATTTGTTCATGCAAGAAACTCAATGGGAAAACTTCCCGTATAGCAGTGATTGACTATTTTATTGGCAGTGGAAACTGATTTTGCTCCATTCCATGCCAAAATGGGTGTTGAGGAATTTTTTTCTTTAATTGCTTTCTCTCACTGGGAGAGACATTTCGCGAAACTTGTTAGCAATTCAACTTGAGATTTTCCTCTCTCTTTCTACATACCAATAAACTTTTCCAGCATGTCTCCCGCCGAAGACCCCGGAAATTCGCACCACCCAGTGACTCTCTGTTGTGTGATTAATTTCAACAATTAACTGACTTTTCAATGCGATTTACGGAGAAAATTTAGTGTGTCCCATTTGGGGCGCGTTTTCATTAAAAATCAAAGCATAAAGCAGTCATTTGGGGAGGATTAGGGGCGTGAAGGAGCCGATAAATCTGAGATATTTTGCGTGGAGTGTCGCAAATGACTGAAAAGTGTCCCTTGCCTTTCAGTGCCACCAGTGATCCTGGAGCAGTACACCAGCAACGATATGGTGGTGCGAGAGGGCTCAAATGTAACGCTAAATTGCAGGGCGAGGGGATATCCTGAGCCATACATCATGTGGCGTCGAGAGGATGGCAGTGAAATGTCCATCGGCGGCGAAAATGGTAGGCACTCTCTTGACTTTCCCCGATATTTACTTAAAGTATCACCACTCTGAGGCGCATTTTCTCGTTCAAAGTGGCCGTAGTTGATGGAGAAGTGCTGTCGATTGTGAAAGTGAGTCGACTCCATATGGCGGCTTATTTATGTGTCGCCTCCAACGGGGTGCCACCGTCAGTGAGTAAAAAATTGGAGCTCCGTGTTCAGTGTGAGTGATAAAATATTTCAATTTGAGGCGGATGATGTGGTGATTTTGCATCTTCTTTCCCTCCCACGCGCGCAGTTCCGCCCATGCTGTCGATTCCCAATCAGCTCGAGGGCGCATACACTGGCCAGGATGTCACCCTGGAGTGCCACACGGAAGCATATCCGGCATCGATAAATTATTGGACGACAGATCGCGGAGATATGATAATATCAGGTGGGTTGCATATCACACCAAGAGCCGCGTATGTGGCGCCCGTGGAATTTATACTTGCGCTCACCTATGAAAAACAACACACGAAAGTGCTCACATAAAGGGACACCATGAATAATTTGTCAATGATAAATTGCCCCTCTGACTTATCGCACCCCCGAGTTGTCTAATATACAACATAATTTCAATGTCCACAGTCGCCACAATGAATTTTCCCCCATTCATTTCCCTTTTCATATTTTCCCATGAATAGACACCCACAATTCCAATGGGTGGCATTTGCGGAGGACATTGTTTCTCTGGGAAAATATTTAGCAAATTCAGCATTTTTCCCATAGTTTATGAAATTGCCCATCGCCGTGGTGAAAACTTTTCGGGTGGGCTTCTCTCGTCCGACAAACTCTCCTCCTAGATCAATTGTCATGGAAAGTTTTGTGGTGATTTTCAAAATGGCAAAACAAATAGAATTCCCATGAAGAGATTGGCGAAAGGGGGATTTCCAGGTAGAGCGTGTCTCAATAAAAGTGATATATATCTCGGAAATTGAATGAGAATGGTTTGAGGGTGGAATGTTGAAAAATATAAATTTTAAGAGCGTTTTTATGAACCATAGAATAACTATGATTGAGGATAGATAAATTTACAATATCATGAACAATTTGTAAGCTGGAATAATTGAAATCCCGGGCAAGTTCACGCCCATTTGGATGCTCCGCCCATTCATGATTTGTTCCATAACACAACATTTCTAACATTTCCAATATTTTGAAAGTTGCTGAACGCGTTTTCCCATTGTCATTCGCGAAGCACAGTTGCCATAAGTTAAACTAGACCAATTTTTCACGACGACATTGATAATTTGTTACTGTATCTTGAATTTTTCTGTAGTATTAAATGGCGATTAATCATTAATTTAGACACTTCCCGCGCAGGAGACAAATTCGAGACGCTGTCCATCAGCAACGGCTACAGCAAGTACATGAAACTGAAGATTCGCAGTGTCGGCGCCAAGGACTTTGGCTCGTATCGATGCGTGGCGAAGAATTCACTCGGGGAAACAGATGGTCTCATAAAGCTCGATGGTAATGTTGTATATTTCCTCACAAAACATGTTTATATGAATTTTTCTCTGGTGCGCATATTTGAATTTAAAATCAATTGCGAGTGATTGCATATTTATGGTTGCTCGTGTTGTTTTCTCTCGCGCAGAAATTCCCGCTCCAACAACCCCAATGACAACGGAAATCTATCAGTTGAATCGGTCACGGGTGAAGAATCGAAAGAAGTACGATTTCGTCACCATTGGCGACTATGGTGTGGAGGAGTGGCGCGATAACAATGGTGAGGTGCAATTTAATTTCAAGTGCGGTCTTCTCGTGGTGTAATTATAATTATTTCTGGGATTTAGACTACAATGGGGACTTTTCGTTGCCATCGCGAGGTCCGCCACCCATTCGGCATCCACCAGGTGCATATCATAACAGCTCCCATTCACCGCTGCTCACCACACCATCCACTTGCCTCGTGATACTCGCAATCCTTCTCGCCGCCATGAATGCGATGCTCCTGAGATGAGAACATTCCTCACCAGCGGCCACAGAGCAGCATTTTGCCACACTCTTCCCGTAAGTTCATCACATTTCCTCCATGGTTGCATTCAGTGAGGGCGCATAAGCAGAGGAATTTGAGTCAAACTCATCTTCATGCACAGTTTATTTGACGATGAAGGCATTAACCCGTAAAAAAAAATGATGGAAATCTTATAAATAAGTGACAAATCTCTGTTGAAGCTCTTGATGAAAAAACAGTCATTTCTTTCTGCGGTGCTAAAGTGTAATTTAATATTGATTATACCGAGACGTAAATAGTTAAGAGATGTCCTACTGAGGAGGGTTATTTGGGTTTTAAGTGATCTCTTTTGTACTACTCTCCCAAAGCATCATTCTTTAAACCTATTGTCAATTCATGAGGGCAGAAGGGATGTTTGTATAAATTTGTGATTACCATTCTAAAAGATAATCCGTGTAGCTTCATTTAGAAGACCATCAAATGAGTACTTGTTAGATGACACACCCGGCCAGACATTTCTTTCTATACTTCGTCCCTCCCCTACATAGGAATATACTATGTTGACAGAGGATCTAACCAGACTGTTATTTCACAACACATAAAATAAAGGAAATGCTATAGCAATTTTTCTTCCGGTAATAAACGAAAATGAAAGTTATAGTTGTACTAGAAATATCATTGACTCCTTATACATAAAACATTTAAAGGCTTTGTAAATTGTAAATAATAAATGAGGTATATATTTAGAGGTGTTCTCACTGTTTATTTTTGAATTTTACTTTCTCTCTTTGTGACTTAATAATATAATATTTTGTTGCAGATATATAAATGATTTTTTTTCTGTAAATTCATCAAAATTCCTCAGCTGAAAAATTGGTGAGTAGCAAATCACATTTTATTCTCCGCTTAAGGTGTAAATTCCTCAGTTTCAAAGGACACTTTCATCCACGTTAAGCTGAAAGAGTTTTTCTTTCATCTCCCATTTCCCCTCTCTGGGGCAAACGTGAAGCAAGTAATCCCGAAAGAGGTGGGATATCTGCACTATACAGCACTAAACTGTGTCGAAAGCAGGTGAAAGCACGTGAAAATATTGCAATTTGATATTATTATCACGTGTCGTAATGAGAGGAGTTCGGAGTGGGAAGTGTAGCCTCGAAGTTGATTCTAGCACACTTAGCGAAATCACATTTTCGTGAGCTTACTACTGATTGATGATGGTAATAAGGAGACAAAAGATTACTGTCTGCTCAATAAAAATGAGCAATCATTCTAAAGGCATTACCACGCTCTACTCCTTTACAATTCACTAAGGCGCAGATTGGCCGTTTCGATGGCGAGCAGGAAGTGAGCTGAAAAAAGTGGATGAGAGGCGAACTATGTATATCATTTGTGTGCTTGCTTTTTAATGAACCCTCCAACTGACTTTGGAGGAATTAATCATAAAATATGGTGTGAAGTTGGTGAAAATTTTTACAACACTTCTACTAGATTACCGGTGAAAAAAGTTGCTTTTTTAATGCAGTTCCCGGTGAGAAAATGGTTGTGAAAAGTGGCTTTTTGGACGATTCCAAGCAATTTTGCGAGGAAATTAATAGTTCAACCTTTTAGCGAACTTTAAATTCTGTACAAACTATTGTAATATTAACAATGCAATATATTGAGAATATTTTCAATAGATTAAATTATAAGCGTGACCTTAAAATCCGCCACTTTTACCTAACAAAAAGTATCGATCAGTTTATAGCAAAGGAGTAACCATGTCGCGCAATCACGATTCACAGAGAACGCAATCTTCGCAACCTCAAACGTAATTCACAATCCCTAGTAGAAAATCTGAGGATAGATCTTAGAATATTTGTGAAAAGATTTTAACTTACTTTAGCTAGACTTTAACTATTAGAATTTTGAAATGCTTCTATTGTCATTTCTTCATTTTTCTTTGATGAATAATTTGTTGCGTGTTTTCCATCAGCTCTTCGCTTGTTCTTATTTCTTCTCCCTATCTTTTCTCTGGGTATTCCTATCAGAATGTATGATAAGTGTGTCGATTTGTCCAATTTCTTCCATTTGACTTCAGCTTAAAAGCTGAAGCACACCTCGTGTGATTCCCTAAATTGAATTACTTACTCATAGAGTAGAAAATTCCCACAAATTGCGTAGATTGTCGATGAATGATCCCATAGAGACGTGGAATTAAATAAAAATTTACGTTATTAGGCATCATGGATGTAATGCTATATCTATCGTCTGGTGGAGGGTTGCAAAAAGGGTGTCTGGCAAAAAAGTGCTTACGAGACTTTTGGGTTCATTACACATAATGCCATGCAAAGAGAGCGAGAGAGGGTGTCATTCGTTAGTGTGTTTCCCTCCTTTTCTCTGCGCCCTTTTTATCATACCGAAGAGGAATTCCAATGTTTTCTACATATGTGACAGGAATTACACATATAGAAAAGATTTCCCTCTATCTCTCGTGGCCCCCCTTTTTCGCATTCGTAGGGAAAGTTATCAACATCCGTTTGACGGCTTATCGATACATCATATATCTAGAGATCGTGCTATTTATTGGATATTTCCATCCTTTCTGCCTGTCACAGCGAACCGATACTGACTGCTGGGACGTCAGCTTTATGAGCTGGGGACGCAGCATTGTCGGCGTGTGTGGAAAAAATATATATGCGAGGAAGGAATTGCGAGAGCGCCAAGTGACTGAAAGGCATCCACATCTCACCCAAACATTCTCAACACTCGTCGCATGAGAAATTATGGAAATTGAATGGAGAGCAGAAGCACTTTTTCCAGCTTTCTTTGCACTTGATTCCGTGCGCCGCACATATCGGGTGGCGAGATGGAAATATCCAGATGCTGAGTTGGGAGTAATAGCAAATTATTGAATTTAAAAATATTCAAATGAAAAGCACAGGAGAATGGTGGCAAAAAGGCGTCCGCTTGCTTCGGAACATTGAAATTCATGATGATAAACGATATAGAGGCGCCTCAATTGTGTTGTTGAATTTTCAAGTCATCCCCTGGCTTTTCCCGCGGCCGCCTTTGTTCCATTTCCACACTCCGCCCCACCTGACCAGGTGAGGAATGCAATATTAGGGCTGATTTGGTGAGAAATCTTTACGTCTGTGCGGCGAAATCTGGAGAAATCCCAGCCACATTGAGTGCGAAAGCACGCCTAAACGGCCTAAACTTTAATATAAAACCCTAATAGGATTGAGAGGCGGTGAGAGAGTGGAATAAACTTGACGGTGAGACGCTATAAATATTTCAGGAGAAAAATTGAAGACAATCGTGTTCGATATTTTTTACCATAAATTTTCTATACATTCCATATTGAAATTCATAACACGGAAGTACAAGGGCGGGAGGAGTGGAGCAGAAAAAGACGTGTAAATCTTAAATCAATGTCTCAACGTGAGACATAGGCGTTGTATGGAGATTTCCATTTTCTTCCACTTGCACTGTGACGGGAAAAAATGATGAGCATGAGAAAGAGAGAGCATTGTCACGTCGCTCTAAGAACAGTCCACAAGTCCCCTTGTAAATTAATAATAATTCTACCCTGAAAATGGACACAAAACGCCCTAAATATCCATGAGAATACATGTAATAGTGTGGGAGTGGGAAGAATGGTGAGAGAATACCGATCATTTCGGTAAAATAGCATTTTATGGAAAGAGTTTCGGTCCACAGGGACTTTTAAGATTTATGATTCGGCAAGCCACCTGTCCCAATTCCACTAGCAAGATATTTTCTTGTAGCAAAACACAGGGTGAGAGAGAGAGAATGCTCCGGAGCACTGCAACATTTTTCTCTTAGCGCCCCACCGACCGTCCGTACCTTTAAATTCCAAGAACAAATGGCAAGGGGCATTTTTCTCCCCGTGGAAAATTAAACGATTCCGATGCGAGATGAAGATGTCATTAAATCGAATATTATGTAATGCGGAAGGAAAGGAATTCCCTCGTCCGCCCCCGCTTGGCGCCTTATCAACGGTGGGCGGGCGAGTGTATTGGCTTGCGAGGGATGCTGCGGAATATGCGGATAGATGGAGGGTGAAAGAAATAAAACCATAGAGTGAAACTTATTAGATTGCACTGAGAGACGTTGGGAACAGATATAGGACTTAATAAATTGATTACATTACTTATATACTTTTGTTGGTTTCTGCGGCATTTGCGGGAGGGGGGAAAAAGTTTTTCCAATCTTTTTACACTCCACTCGATTTATTCCCACACATATCATATGGAGCGAGAATGAATTGATGTTGTTGTACAATTTTCCCAGAGATAATTACACAGAGAATTTCATCGATAACCCCATCGAGGAGCCCCTCCAGAATCCCCACTCACCCAGTTCTTTCGGCTTCCGCTCCAATTCATCACGTAGGTGGAGAGATCCTTGAGACCGGGGAGAATTTCCACGTAGCGTAGTGTAATTGAGTTTATAGTGGAGGGTATGGAAATGATATTTTGGCCTCCAGCAACTGTGGTCTACCCCTCGTCTTTTATTACGGCATTATTCTCTTCTTAAAACACATCCTTAAATCTTATTCTTTGACCGTATATCACTCACTCACAGTGTCTCTCACACGAGCAGCTCTGCTGAGGGCCAATTTCATATACGATAGAGTGTATATGAATTTATTATGTTATATATTAAGCAGGTCACAGCTGAATCTCACTTGTGCTGCAGTACTTCAGGTATTTGTCCTGATCTTCCGATTTATGTATTGTCTTGGGTGGGAGATTTTGACCACGTAAATTCTTTTGCCTCTACTTGCATCGGCGCTCACGCTCTCCCCTCGACTTCAGAAGAATCGCCTTCACTCTTTCTCTGAGTAAATGTTCTTCTTTCTTAAGGCCACATTGTCTCTTCATTTGTCATCTGTTGAATTTGAATAATTGCAAATTGTGTAAAAACCAAAAATTCAATTTTCGAGCTGAAGATTAGGTTTTCATACATATATTCTATAAAACATCAGTGAGAATTATACGAGTGTAGTGGCCTAAAGTTTTCTTTCCTCTACTCCATTAGTATGCTACAATCATGAAATCTTTTAAGTTGTAACGATTGAATTTGAAACAAACAATGATTTCAAATGAACAGCTCTCTATATGATATTTCCTTTCCGAAAGCTCAGGAAAGCTCATCAAAACATTCAGGACACGTGACTTTCCCTTGTTCTAAACACACAGAAAATTCAAATGAAAATTGGTATGAAGCTTTGCTATTTAGTACTCAAAGCTCTGCCTTTCACACCAATTCAAGGGGCAAAACCATTCCACATGATTTTACGCACTTTGTTTCATCCCAATTTGTCTGTACAGAATGATAATTCATGACTTATTTACTAAAACCTTCCACTGAGATAAACTTAGTTATCAATTGAAGAAAAGTCGTTGTCTAGTTATTGTCGTTTAATTGGCAATTTGTGCGAATTTGAGGGTCAGTAGGAGTTTGCTGCTGAGCAGAGGGAAGTTTTGGTGGGTGGCGCAAAAAGAGTTTCTTGCTGACATTGCTATCTTCCGACTCGTTGCCCCCTCTAATTAGCTCATGATTGTTTGAACCATTTGAATTTGCTTGTTATTCGCTTGCTCTTGGCTCGGGGAAAATAGATTGGGGGTTATTTGTCATTCGCAGATGCTTTAAAGATTTTTATTTGCTCTCCCCGCTCGCGAGCCTGCAAAGAGTGTTGCATGTGCGAATGCTCCAAGGTATCGTCAGTATTGTTTTGAGGTGCAAATTGAATTATGAAATCATAATCGATTCGCGTGAAGAGTCGCGAGATGAAAAGGAATCATATGATTAGGTTATTAATTGCTAATTTCCATTTTAAATCACTCACCGGCTGCCTCACTGGGGGTTGAGGGGTGACGACAGACATTCTGGGCCATGAATAATTGATACTCCGAAGTGATTCGCCGTGCAGCTTTTTCAATCTTCCTCGCCATACTCCTTGGCATGAAAGAAGAAATGACCAATTATGATATTATGGGGAAGATTTGTGGAGGTGGATGGTTTTCCTCCATGGGATTTGCTGTTTTGTGAATTGAAATGCTTTATCGGTTGAACTCGAAAGTGGCGCATGCGATTCTGACAACTGGGAGCCACGCGAAGGGTTCACCGTGACTGTTTATTAATTTTGAGATTCAGTTAGTGAATGAACTTTCGTTGGGAAATACTGGAAACAGGTCGACAGGGTGCGAACAGCGACTTCCCGCGTTCTCAAGTGGCACTTTCTCGATTTAGATGAGATTGATTAATGTGTGATTTGTGGACAGACATTGATTTGAGGCGACCCAGCAGTCAAAGGATGAAATTTCTGTCAATATCCCTACTATTTATAGCTTTGCAGGAAGTAATTGTCGCAACTCCTGACATAAATGGCAAGTTGTTCAGCAGTTTTATCCATTTTTTGGCAATTTTCTCAAATTATATATAATAATCCAACCTTCCCGTGTTACAAAATGTATTTTACCAGAAGCATTGTTGTTGAGTGAATTGAATGTATTCAGTTTGACTTTTAGCATTCACATTGTGGGTGAACTTTGGCGGTGAAATTCCAAGAAATCTACACTGCATCAAGTAGCATGTGTACAGCAAGAGTGTTCATGATTCAATTGAATTTCTATAAATGTAGTTTTCCATCAGTGAAACCACCTCAGCCAACCCGATGGCTGTACTTGAATGCCCTCTAACGCTCCACGATCCTCTTCCTGCCCAGAAATTAGATAGAAGAGGAGCACAGAAATCACACACTTGTTCCTCTGAACTACATTAAACACTGCAAACACTGTGCAGAGGGCTTTTGTGGCGCACAACCACATAATATGGGGTTGTAATTCGACGAGAAGGGCGCCCACGGGGGTCAACAGAGGAAAATAGCCGCGATGTTGAGTGATTTTTGAGGAATTGGAAAGAATGAAATGCCGAGGCGAATCATTTCTTCAAATGTCATGAACTTTCTTCGCTGAAATATGGAGCAATTCGTTTCAAAGTATCATTTTGGCGTCAGTCAAAATTCACTTTCAACCACGATATGCACGAGAGAAAAGTATTAAGGATTTTTGCCATGGAAAGAAATGATTTCTTTTCACCACACTCGACTCAACGGGGGTGAATATAAAGCATGTGCGTGGATAATGTGATTGTGGGCAGTGTATTGAAATGAGGGTTGTTTATTGAGGCAGTCTTGTAAGTAATTAGCATGTACTGGAGACACTCGAAATCAATTTGGGCTCTGTCTAATTATCTATTTTTCACTTTTCCACCCTCTTTCTCACATCGACTCGCACTTTCCCTGGGCAGACAGAAAATTGTTGCTCTTTCGATGATTTTGACCAAATTGCCGCCACTATATTTACATGTTTGTTCTTGATAAATGTTGTCTAATTGATTGACTTGACCAGAGTCTCAAAATGGGGAAAATATTGCAGAATTTTTCCCATTTCTTTCTTTTAATTCATCATTAATTTTAGGATGAAACAATGCAACATTATTACATGTTAAGTTCCATTGTTTGTGCAAATTATCTTTAGGATTAGACAAAGTGATATTGTTTCGTTAAAGAGCTTTTGGTCACACAGTTCAAGACTGTATTTTCTAAATTGTCATTTAACAAAATCCTCGAGTCGCTCTTCAGCTTAAATGCACGCATGAATAGTCATTTCTGTGAAAGATTTCAATGCACTTTTCCCAGAGCAAATACTCGGTATTTTCTATATACTTATTGAGAATATTTCCTGTTGGGTTAAAAATGCAAGTGCCTTTCAATGAATTGATTGTTAAATATTGAACGAGTGGGAAAGCTTAAAAGCCGTCAACGTCAATTTCAAGATTTACCCAAACATCCAACGAATATACAAAGCTGCGGGAGAAAAAACTAGAAGCATTGCATAGGGAAGTGTGTTTATTGACGCGAGAGGTGCAGGGTTGACAAATAAAAATCTCACAGGAGTTGCATCTCTCATATCTTTTAGCGGGAGTGGGTGTAAGCCATGGGATTATTTTGATCAAACTCAAGCGGAATTGGAAGATGTTTCTCGACACAAACCTCTCCAGTTAACAGAGTTGCAGCCACTTAATTAGGATTGGCATCCTGTTGACAATATCCCGGAACACATTCTCATGCAGTTCAACTTCAAATGGTTATTTTTTCTCATTCACACAACAAACTTTGTCGGGGAAAAATTGGAAATTCATACTGCAATATGGTTGAATTTGTACATGAAAAGATTGGTAATTTATGGGTTATTTTTTCACATGTGCCAATTGAATTAAATACAAACAATTACTTGATATTAATTGAAGTTATCGCAATGCGAACAGGGATTTAATATTGCATTTAAAAACATCATGTTTGTTAGGGGAAAACAGAGAATAATAAATCTTTCTTTGCTTCAGGGGCGACAGAAGGAAACCACACTCGGAGTTGATGGCTAATTGTGAAAATGTCTTGAAAAATTGATTCCGAAAGTGGGGGTGGTTTCTGATTCAAATCTCCCGCCATTTCTAATAATACCGCCTGCAAAGTTAGTAAATAATATTTGATTCGATCGACGTCTAAGCAGCGAACATGCAACATTGAAATTACACGGCGCACAATTCAGAAATTGCCACAAAGGCACATATGTATGAAAATACTAGCTCTGTGTTGGGGACTTTCTTTCACTCATTGTAGTATTTGCTTTCTGGTGACCACTATTATTGCTCCTTTGGCTCTTTTGGCGCGCTGGGGAAGTATCGTGTCGCCCTCTCGTCAACCTATTGCCCCTCACATGTCCCGCAAGCACACGCCTCAATCTTCAGTCTGGGCCTTTCTCCTCTGGCCTAATGATATTTCTCAAGTCCTCTCCCTGCCATTTTCTCACTATTTGACTTCTCCGCGTGCTCACTTAAGAATATTATTACATAACGACCATAATTCCTTCAACCTCTTCTCCTGATTTGCCTTTCACCTTCCCTCCTCTCCTCACGCGTATATTAAAATAATACTCTCAACACATACAGAGAACATTGTCCACACTGTGTGTAACCTCACACGGAGTCAAATCACAATAATTACAGCTTATTATATTGTTTCTGTTGTAAGAGAATTGAGGTGATCATCGATCAAAAGTTGTACTTAATTTACCTGAAAGAAGTTCCACACTGTGTGTAAGAAAGTCACTCTTGTAAGAAGCGAAATTATGTGAAGAATCTTCCTTTGCTGAGTCTTTGGCTATATTTTCGAGACTGTTTTTCACCATAATTCGTGAAATCTCGTCATTTTCCTGCTAATTGCATAATTAAGAGATGTTTGTAAATTAAGATGAGGCGGAAGAAGCAGTCAGCAAAATCCTTTAGAGTGAAAAATACTTCTAACAAAGTTGGAAAGGTGACAGATAAATGATTTAGAATCGACTAGATTCAGAAATATTATAGTTGAAGCATATTATGGGATCAAATCGCAGTCATGAGCTTGAATTCTATTAGACAAGCAAATTGCACTTCATGTTTTAATCCTCATGTGAACGTTTAAAGAAGATCTCTTATCTTCTCTTCACCAACTCGTCACACCCACTTCTCCCCCCTGGTCTATTGGACTTAATGTCAATCCTGCGAAGAGTATCAAAGAGCAAATGACTTGGCATTTAAGGTTTTCATTGGCACAGAGCTCAGTTAATCTGCAATATCATAAATTCATAAGTACTAATGGTGCATCTGGATGTTATTTTTCTTGGTTGTCATTTGGAGAAACTGTCCCGATGATGCATCTAATTTGCTGGGGATGCGCAAAAAGGGAATATTTGCTCGACACTTTACTGCTAAACGGTGTAATAATTTTGTGGGACGAAAGTGTCATGAGAGGCGACATAAGGAAAAGTTAAAATGTCACTTTGCTGCCTTTTCATTTAATGTTGATAGGACAATATTATTTTTTATTATTATGATATTTGAAATTTATTGTTTGCCATGAGGATGGCACGGAGTGGTGGAAGAAATTACATTTATTCGCTCTTTGCGTGAGGGTGAGAAAAATCCTTACATTGCAGCTTATTTGTGCCTCGTCTAGGACGTGTATTTTCTCAGTGGAAATTGATGGGTGCAAATTAAGGGGTGGGTGGTTATATTTTTGGTGGGCAGAATCACCTTAGAGAAATATCAAATGACTCAGCTGCAAATTAAATAGTAATTTAGCGACTTTGGGGAGTCATTTTCACTGCCTTATTGCCACGTATTTATTCACCACGTGTTTTTCTTCCACTGCCATTGATTTGCGCTCTCGCCTTGGGGGGACTTTTTGGCGGATTTCAGAGACCTTCCCTGCGATAGTTGGGTATTTTAATATTGGGGAGCGAAAGGGGAGAAAAATTGACGATTGTGGCAAAATGAAAGAAACACGCAACGTCTGTGGGTTTGCATTGATTTATTTATTAAGGCAAATTACTCGTGAGAAGTTGTCGCGATTCTAGAATAAAAATCTCTCTAACTTGAGAGTATTTTTCCCTTAAATCGCAGTCACTTATTGATAAAGATTTCCGGGGTGGAAAATAGGCGAAAACTTCACTCCTTGATGTACACTTATATTGTCGGAAATTGAGAGTCGCCTCAACACTGAATGAGATGCATTTGCGAGTTTCCAGTAAAAGCGAAGAGTTGTGATGAAAATTATTAAATACCTCCATGCAATTTCACTGGTGGACGGAATTCCACCAGACCACCCACTCTTTATCCACTCATTCACGATTCTATCTCGCAAAAGTGATAGTCGCCCTACAATGTAATTTTTAATTTATACAATTTCTTCCCCAACCAAGAGAGGGAAGAGTCGTGAGAAAAATCTCAAAGCTATTCAGGTGCGGTGTTGCAATATAGAATTTTCCGCATATAGATTTTTTTTTTTAATAAAATTCATTTCCCCATTTTTTGGCGTGTGCATTTTATATCCTCTCTCGCAGCGTCAAACGTGGATGGGGAGGCGTTTTTGTGCTTCCCCGGCGTGGGAAAATTGTTAGATTTTTCAAAATGCCAGGATTTATTACTTTCACATATAGTCATGATACTACATGGAAGAGAGTGACTAACTGAATAAATTTGCAGATTTGCGGTGCTCTTTTCAACAGAAATCATCGCGTAGTTTTGGGGCAAAGTGGAGGAATTTCCCGCGAGATTGCTGTGAGTTATATCACTTCGGGCGGTGTGGAAAAAATGCAAATCACTTAAATCATCCCAACAAGCTGGAAAATCCATGAAATTGACCGACTCGAGGGAGGAGCGAGTGTATATTAAAAGCCAGAATATCTCAATCCCTCTCCACCTCATCGTATATGATAAATGATGAATGTTAATTTGCCACATCGCTGATGTGCCCGTGAAGACTTTATGCAATAATTTGCATTGTAATCGCCCTGCAGACGGAATAGCCGGACGATGCATATTTATTAAAAGATATTTTATAGTTGCAAAATGGATGCCTTATCGTAGAGAATATCCATCGCTAAATTCACTTGAATCAGGGAATAAACGCATAATTCATGCCGCGTGATTGAGATTAAAACGCCGCGATAGGGAATATTTCATAAGGGATTTTTTTTTCCAAATGCCCCCCAATTTGTTTTCAAATCACTCACCGGAACACATTGCTGGTATCTTGGGCAAATTGGTGAGTTATTTTTTTTACCCATTTTATTGTACTACACAGGAGAGGCTTCTTTTGATGTTGAAGGATAATGTTTCCAGTGCACTTTTGCGGTGGAAAAGAAGAAGAGAATAGAGAAATCATCCTTATTTTTCGCATGGTTTATCACATGTTATTTTAACGAGAGATTTTACGTTTTCACAAATGCACTTCAATTCCACTGATTATTACATTTATCATGAAATGTTGTGTCTCTATCTTATCTAATTAAATTTTAACACTTTAGTACTAGGATATATTATAATTTGCAAAATAATAAATCGCAAATTGAAAATCTCAAATGATTTGTTTATTTAATGGAAGATTTGTCGTCACAATGTTTACTTTCCGCAAACAAAGTGTGAACGAATTACTGCATTTACAGATATTTTTAAATGCTCTGCGATTGTGTTCCTCCCCTCGGGAAATACCATAGCAAAATTCACCCGCTGGAAGTTTTGCGAAAGTCCTCCTAAACTGTCTGGTGGCTTCTCTATTCCGACACTTCAGTACTGATACCAGTGGCACAAGTGCAAGTTGAAAGTGAGGCTTTTGTGAAAATTGTTCAGTGGCACGATTTGCATTCTGCACGCTAATCAATTCGTGAAAAGCACGATAATGGCGCACAATTAGGAACTTCTCGATCACGCATTTTAAAATTGCAAGCCATTTGCCCAAATGATTGCACTTTGGCAAACTTTGCTTTTCAGCACTTCCCATTTTCCCACCCCCGCAATTTATATTAAATTCAATTGTCTGCCTGAATATTTTTAGTTGGCGCTCTCGCGCTCCTTTGTGCTGTGGCATCTTCAGCTTTTGTTTAATTACAGGAGAGAAAAAGCACCGAAATTTGCCACAAGTAAAAGTGTTAATTTGCACATGGTGGAGAGTAATTAATTGGGCGGTTGGGAAAAAAGCATCTGATTTTTGGTAAAATTGGTGCGAGATGATTTTCAGAAATTGGCAGAAGGGCTGCAAAGTCGACACGTGTGAGAAAATTCATGTTTCATTAGCAAATTAAACAAGTCACAGTGGCGATCCTCATCTGGGCTGAGCCCAGAATTCCTCACCATTGTCAAATTAGACACGCTCTGTGAGCAGAATTTACACTACTTGAGGGAATGTTCCACCGCGTGCCATTCTGTTTGGCTAATTTGAGTGACTTCTTGTGCTAAATGTCTCGCAACTTTGGCCATTGACAATTCCACAACATGCCAAAATGCTCATTTAAATTCCCCAAAAGTCACTCTTCTTATCGCGATAATTTGCATAATAATTAACACATTTGATTGAAAGTGTCTTCACGCAAAAATACCACCACAATAAATGTAAATCATGACCTATTCGTGACATTCACATCTTTTTCGAACTGATGATGCGCAATAGAGTAAGCTTTGGTGACATTAGAAACACCCTCGTTGTGCATAAGTAAATGAGATGCAAAAATAAAACATCTCTTTGATCTCTTCTGCAAACATTTATGTGATTTTTTGCCCAAGCGTTCTGGGTATCAGGGAGGAATAATTAGCATAGATTGCATTCAGAAAATCCTCAATATTTGCATTGGCAGCATGGCAATTATTTAAAAGTTTAGCATCAATCAAAAAGCCTGATGAAAATGTTGCATCACAACATGCAAAATTCTCATCTCCAGATGAATGTTTTTTACGTGCGAACGCACATAAAAGTCCATTGGGTATTTACCTATTTTTGTAAAATAGTGTGCACTTTGAATTCTCAGTTACCTATTGAAAAAAAAGTTAATGATAAAGGTTTGAAATGGTTGCAATTCATCGCAGATACAAGTATTCATGTACATATCTAGATTTCGCAGTGTTTATATCGGATTTTACTTTAAAAAGTGTTGAATTTAAGGATACCGCCCATTGATTCACAAAATTTAGAACACTGAAAATTAGGAGAGTGCCCAGTTGTTGTGGAGGCACATCGTTAAAAATTTCTAGTTAGCTATATCAGAAAGACTTTGAATTGCTGGATATATTAAGGGTAATAACGTATCAAGAGAAGTTTTACCAAAATTAAATACCGAAACCAATATCCATGTTCACCCCTCAGTTCCCTAATTCCTGGAATATTTTAAAATTGAGTGGGTGAAAATCGCAGAGCATAGAGTTTTATGCATGAATGCTGCAACAATAACATTTAATTCTGCCCCAAAAGATGGGAGGCAATAATATAATGATGCGCCAAGTTGTAAAATGAAAATTGTGTAATGAATTGAAATAACAAGCTCTGAACCATATGTTTGCCATTTATTGTTGCAATTATGCTTAGGAGAGCCAGAGTCGAGAATCATTGTGTAAATATGCTAAATCGGGCGTGAGATATAAATTTCATGCTCTTCTCGCGCCCCTGAGTTTCATGTGGGATTTATGGTGCTTTCAGAGCTTTTCTGATTTTCATATTAGCCTGTTTTTCTTCAATGGAATCCTTGCAGGAGATCCTAGCTTTAGTGCACCGATTGCAAACATCACAGTTCCTGTCGGACGAGAGGCAGTAATGACGTGTATCGTTCACGATTTGGTTTCTTTCAAGGTGATTTTGAGGCGATATTTGCGCGTATTGTTTGTATTTATGCGTGCTTTGTGGTTCAGGTTGCCTTCTTGCGCGTTGATACGCAAACCATCCTCACCATTCAGTCCACGGTGATCACGAAGAACCACCGCATCGGTATCACGCACACGGAGAACAGGATCTGGCAGTTGAGGATTAAGGATGTGCGGGAGTCGGACAGAGGCTGGTACATGTGCCAAATAAACACAGACCCGATGAAGAGCCAAGTTGGATATTTGGATGTTGTGGGTGAGCAGAAAATCATTTTCCTCAAATCTGCCTTATGAATTATTCCAGCAAGGACCAATTCTTTTTTTTTATTCTTAGATTGTACATAAAACAAACATTCCTAAATTAAGTAATTCCCAAAGCAAGATTTAATTGCCCAATAACTCCGTATGGGAGAGGCCTCGAATAAAAATGAAAATTTCCTCCATAATTGACTTTCACCCCAATGACTTTATTGTTATGAATTGAAACAGTGCTTTATTATTAGTATTAATAAAAGGCTTTGGAGCCACTTTTTTGCTGCTCGCTGCGCGAACCATTTTATGACATCTTATTGTTCATTTCTTCTCCCTCGAAACGGGGCCAATAAAAAAATCAGGCAAGGTGGCTTAATGGGTGGCCACTTGAGGGTTGGAGATTGACGATCAATTTGCTACTTTGTGTCAATTTGCCTATCAGGGGCACAAAGTGAGAGGAGATATTCAAATGAGGGGATAAGTTTCGTGAATGGCTAAGTCGCGGTCTGACTGTCTGGCTTTTGTGCTGGATGATGAGGAGAATTGTTAGTGTAAAAATTGACATGAGAAGCGTGACCAATTCTCAACGGGCGCCACTTTAATAGCGCGCTCAACTTTCACCAACATATTATTTGTAGACGGTGTAATTTTCCCTTTTTCCTCCACCATTTCTCCCCCATTCTTGCCACTTCTCGTGCCTCTCTAGACGTGGATTTTTTCGCCAAAGTACCACTAATCCAAATTCATCTACACAAATAGTCAGAATTCCTTCAAGCCCTCGCACTTACCCCATATGTATTTATTAAAATGTCTAATAATAACGTAATAGAATTCTGCAGAGGTTCCAACACAATAGTAAAAAAAAGGGCAGAAGGAAATGTAAAAGGTATGATTTTTGCTGAAAATATTCCTCGTGGGCAATATGTACATTTCCACGATACATGAGAGCGAACAACATGGGAAAAAGGCAGTCAATTAAATGCAATGAAAATGAAACAAGTCATGAAATTCCATTTCCGCCACCAACACTCAATCAAGATGGGCTTCGTGGCGCATTTGCTGGCACACAAAAGTCTTTTGCATGGCTTTCGGCTTCTGGGGATTGTGAAAATGCCTCAGCATTGATTTTCCCGTCTACACAGCGAAGCTCCTCTGCAGAGCGATATTAGTTTATTGACACGGGGATTTTCTCAATTCCATATTCCGCCCGCAATTGAGTCAATTTGCTCTCTAATGAGTGTGATGGCTTTGCACTGTTTGAGAGCAGACGGCAATAATGGAGACTGGAATAATGCTGATTTGTTGTATCGTTGCATCACTCCGCATTCATTTGCAGTTCCCCCGGACATTCTGGACTACCCGACGAGCCAGGACATGATCGTGAGGGAAGGCTACAATGTCAGTCTCAACTGTGCGGCCGTGGGATCTCCAGAGCCGATGATCACGTGGCGTCGCGAACGAGGAAAACCCCTTTTGTCCGTTGGCAGCAGAGAGAGTGAGCTTAGTAGATATAGAGAAGAAATATCGCCTGAGATTTGCGAATTAACCCATTCCTTTCTTCTGCAATTGCTTGCACTCTGGGCAGTCTTCAGCGCCGAAGGACCGTCACTCATGATTCCCCGTGTCAATCGTCATCACATGGGAGCTTATCTGTGCATTGCCTCAAACGGAATTCCGCCAACGGTGAGCAAGCGGATAATGGTCATTGTCAATTGTGAGTACCTTCATGGAGATTGATGAATTTTAAGCACAGCATTTCCTCATCACGCTTCTTGTCGATTGGCTGGCAAATTGCAACATTCCGTGGACACGCCGCGAACAGCGCGAACTGGGGTGTGAGAAGAAAATGAAACAAAAATAAAAAGTTGTTATTAGAGGTTTCTGGAATTAAGCGAAAAATCAATTTCATCGAATAATAGCCGCTAGCTTCCCACGTTCAACCTCACACCATCGGTGTGCATTTCACGCTTTGTGCCATCAATTGAATTTATTTCGGCAGGAGTGCGAGAAAAGCTCGCGGGCACCGCGAATGGGGCACTTTTTGTCGTCACTGTTTCTGGATTAACCGGACGCGTCGTGCTGTACTTAAGAGATTCATTGGATTTACGGCGACTGGGCGTGAGAAGAAAATCCATCTCATCAGTGACGGTCCAATGGGAACCGCATTGGAAATTAAATGAATATGAAGATAGGAAATGACGAAAATTGCTGCACAAAAATATAGATTGATATATTCCTGGGGATACATTGCCATGCAATCCATCCAATTTTGCCAATGAGGAAGTAAATCACGGGAGTGGGAAAATTGCTGTTGAAATTAATTTGGATTTGATTGAATTTGAATATTTCACCGAGAAATTTGTTCTTTCAACGTCTCTTGGCAGTTCCGCCGACAATTTGGGTGAGACATCAGAGCTTTTCTGTCGCCATCGGCCAAAAAATCACGCTCGAGTGCATAACAGAGAGTCACCCCAATTCGGTGAATTATTGGCTCCGCGGCAAAGGAGATATTGTGCAAGGTGAGCATAATGAAAATACACTTGGTCAGGTCTTTGATTGGATTCAGCGTGAAATTCTTCTGCCTGGGAAATTCAACTCTTTTGAGCTTTCATGATAGATATAGTTATGGTGACCTGAATTTAAGCACTTTATACAGATTGACTCGGGGATTGATATGAGTTAATCGAGCTGACGTTCTTTGCAGTAATTTTTTTCAGTGTTTTCATTTTTTCAATTTTGGAAAATGATTGATTTTCCATTTTTACTGAGACAGCCAAGTGTCGAAACACTTTTGACAATATTTATTTCAATAATTCCAAGAATTTTCAAGACAACAAAATATTTTGATTTACTCTTTACTGTAAAAAAAAATATTCGGAGAACAACAATATTATTTCATAATAAAACATTCTTCATTGTTTAAATTTTAATATGTTTCTATAGAATACAATGAATGGAAAATGATCAGTAATGGAACTTTTCAATTTTATCAACTTGAATTTTTCAGTGTTTCATGTCTCACTAAAATTGTAATTCATTTTTCAGGCGGAAGTTACGAACAATTGATGCTTGAAAACGTCTACAAAGTGATCATGAAGCTCGTCATTCGTCCGGTTAAAGCAACAGACTTTGGCATTTATAAGTGCATAGCAAAAAACTCCTTGGGTGAATCTGAAGAAATAATTTCAGTTCATCGTAAGATGTCAACATTCTCCACTAAATTGTCAATCGAGTTAATTCACAGCTTCTCATTACTTGCAGATAAATCAAAACCCGTTGACTTGTTGGCCTATCATCAGCCAAATCACCTGAGCGCATCCTTTGCCAACAGCTCAGCCACATTTCGCAATACAGACTGGAATCTGCAGCCCTTCTCCCACTCCAGCGCCCTGTCCATCGTCCCGGAGTGCATTCTGGTGCTTTGGGGAGTCGTCGTGGCGTCGTGAAGGTGGAGAAATTCCTGTTTTCAATAGCGCTGCTCATGTAAATATCCTTAAGCTGAAGAGGAAATTATAGACGAAAACAGCAATAGCGAAATGGGTGGAGCATTAGAAGCAAAATTAAGCATTGTTTGTATCTAGAAAGGTAGTGAATTATCTGGAAATTTCCGTATAGAGCGTAAGATGTACGATAGAGTTAAGAGTAACAATAAAATTTGAAGAGAAAGACGATCTCTTAAGAGTCTCTTAAGGATTGTGTCCTCGCTTAAGTGAGAAGTCATTTCACATTTCATGGTTTTTATTAGAATTTTTGTGAAACAATTAATACAAGATCTCTATAGATATTTCCTCTCTACTATTCTCTCTTTTCTTTCACCTCCTGAAATTGGGAGTCATCAAGTTTTCTGGTAAAAAGTGCCTCTCCCCAAATGTGAGCTTCTTATTTCAGATGATGTAATTCATATGTAAAGAATATTGGTTTATTTTGCAAGAGAGAGAAAAGCCACCAAACACCATAAACATTGATAAATCTTGTACTCTTTTTCAATCATTTTCTTGTTAAACTTTGGTTTCTCATTTGATTTCCTTCTCAATTTTCTCTTCCTTGCTTTGTCAACACACAAAGAGAGTGTCTCTTATTTCATACATGTAACAATATAATATAATTACTAAAAATGTGCATGATTTTCCTTAAAATTCAATTCACTTGTCATCCTTAACTAATTTTAAATAGGCTTTATAGTATTTCGTAAATATAGTGTGAAATTGGTGTGAAAAATTGTCGGTTTGCAGTAAAGGTTTTCTCCCCTTTTCCTCTCTAAATTAATTTAGTGGGTAAATTCTGCTTAGAAATTTCTACGATCATCGTGAAAATTCATTAGTCACTTATCTATAGGTAAATATTATTATTATAGACTCATTCATTCGTCCAATCAGATTTCATTGTAAAATATCAGTTAACATGTAATATTTGGATTCTCTATACCTTTAGGGCTAAGAATAGTATATTTTCTCAAATTCAAAATATAGACATTTTCTTAAGCTCTCAGATAGAATTGACGATAAAGGTGGTCAAACTGTAGTTCATTATATCTTCTCTTCTAAAATACTTTTTCTCCCTTAAGATTCTATATAAAATCTTATTGCACAGAAGTTATGCTTCCTCCCTTTGCCCTTCTCTAAATGCTTATATAAATTTTCTCATCAACGGGAAACATATCTAATTCATCATCTAAACAGTTAATTGACATTTATGCATTTTATATCATTTTTAACCATGATTTAAGCACTGTTTTTAGTGTTCTACCGTTCTTCCAATCATCTTTCTTTCCCTCTTAACACTGAAAATTCCACTTTAGAAATTATATGGGCGAGATGGAATGTGGATCCGCCACAGAATTTGGCATGTACTCCTTCAATAAGTCTCTCAGGCGAAGAATCTCCTTTCCGGCGGCCGCCAAGTCGCCTTGGAGTGACAATTCTCGCTCGCGTAGCCTCTTAATGTCTCGCTGGCAATTCTGTCGAAGAAAAGTATCGTCAAAATCCCTCAATTCAGTCCAGAACAATGCGCTTTACTCACCACATTCTGACGCAACAAATCAAGCTTATCGCACTTGAGGCGAGTCACTTCTTGCCTCAGATTCTCCACCTGTTGCATGGCTTCTGCCGGTCCGGCCAGCAGGTTTCCGGGCGACACTCCGTCCAGGCACAGTGAGCACGCCTTCGTGGTGGCCTCTGCCGAGGACATGGACTCCAGTCCTGTGTCGCTGTCGATATAAGTGGCTCCTCCGTCGATGTTCTGGAAGGCTGCAAAGACAGACGAGATTTCTTTTAGTGTTTCATTGGTATTTCAAACGGAGGAATTTCGAATGTGTTTCAACAAGAAGATAAATTCGGATGTTTGAAACGTTGATTTCTCTTGTGTTTCATGGACAAATTAACCCATCGCATCAGTCTTGAAATCACTAATTATGTGAGTAATTGTGGAATTGTTTAATACAGTCAAATCAATATTTCATCTTAAATTTTCTAATAATTGCATAAATGAAATAAAGAAGTTCCTTGTAAAGTTTTTTCATGCCAATTACGATTATGGAAGAAAATTGAGCTTGAACTCAGCCTTTAAACTTTAACTTTTATTAATCCCAAGGCTTCATTTAACCCAACGTGACATTTTGCTGATTTTCCGCTGCTTGAAATCGACAAATAATTTGTCATATCAATATGAGTATTATTTACTGCAAAAACACTTAAGGTCTTCGGCTATGCAAATAAACTCATGTCTTCCATGTGCAAGTCGCTTTGCAACTCCGCTGAGGCAGAACGACATTGATTTCAGGAGTTTCTCTCAATGCCCGAAGAAAATTCACTTTATCGCACTCTGCGATGCTGCGCCGTTCGAATGGCAAATTGAATTTGTTGTGCGAAATCTAATCAGTTTGGATGGAATCCAAGAGAATGCTTGTATTGGAGCAACAATTGATACAATTTCCTGTGAAACCCTATTCTTCTCCGCGGCAATGCAATTTTCGCTACTCAGCAGCTGTTCCGCTAATCTATGTCATCATTACATGACTTATACCCTCGTAACTCTTCCCGAGATGACGTTCTCGCTCGCAAATCACCTCACTTGAATTAGCAGGAATTCCAATGAAGCCATTCGTCTAATAAACTTTTGTGACGAATCGTGTTCTCTCTCTTCTCACACGCCGTGATAGTTCAAGGCAGTGCCTCATTATTCATCCAGCCAGAGTGATTCAGACTTGTCTTAAGAGACTCTCGAGTCAGACAATGTATTTGGGCAATCCCGAGACTCACCCATTGGATCCAGGTCGACGCTGTTGAGGCTGGAATCGTCGCTGGTCTCCGACATGGCGGGTCCATTCCCGTTTCCGTTCGCCTGAGCGCTGTTGTTGTTGCTGCTGATGTGATTGTTGTTGATGGGGCCTCGCGAGGTGATGTCCGGTGAGGAGGCGATTGACCCCTCAGGAGACTTCTTAATAGAGCCCGTATTGGACTTGGACAGAGTCCTCGTCATCTGCAAATCAACACGGAATGTCACAAATTTGTCAATCTCCCATGCATTCCCGACAGAAACTTACACTTCCCGTGGAGCTATCCGAGTCTTTGGCCTTCTTCCCAGTACCAAATCCCGCCTGGACACCCTGAGCCTTGTCCACAGTGCTCGTGTCCACGCTCTGCGACCTCAGCCTGGAGTTGAGGGCCTTCTTCACCGTGTCTATAAAGCGACTGCCGGCATTCCCACTGTCAGACTTGGAGGTGTCTGGCGAGGGACTCATGTTGCCACATGAGGGCGAAATGTCCATTCCCAGGAAATCCCTGGTCTTCTCCCTCAACTCCATCACGAGATTCTGCAGCAGTGACGAACGCGTCCTCAGCTCCAGCTTGGCAAACTTATCCGCCTTGTAGCAGGCATTCTCGGCGTTGATCAGCTTCGTGAGCAGGAACTCTGTGAACTCGGGCCCCTTCCGGAACACCGCCGGATTGGGCAGTGTAGGCCCGAAGAAGGGCACATCGTCGCGTGCCGTCACGGAGACCTTGTAGCGCGTGTTGGGCGTGTTCGGCTCCAGCGGCTGGATCACAATGAACGCGTGCAGGAAGTGACTGGCAATCATGTCGGGCGAAAAGGGGGTGTTGGATTCTTGGAACACGATAGCCACAATGTCGTTGCCGATGTGTCGCTTGCGCTGCAGCTGCTGCGGATCACCCTCCGTGAAGGGCAGAAGCGTGGACACGTGAAACATTATCTCGCGGTCCTTGAACACCTCGTAAACTGCTGTGTCGCCCGTGTGACCGTTCTGGATATCCAATCCGCCGCGGTAGCCTTCAAGAGAGGATTAAGTAGAGGGATTAGATAAATCAACTTGCTGGTGTATTGATTAACCCATTGAAGGCCAGTCTACTTTCACAACAACACAGAAATTCAAGTAGTATCTCCCAATAATACGTAATTCAGTAAGTTTATTATACTTTCAGGGGATGTAATTATCACTCAACTACACTTATGGTGGACAAAATTCAATAACTTAGCAACATCTTCTATCAATTTCTCACCTTTGTGCTCTCTGAGCTTAATCCTCTGCCCGAGAGTGTCCAGGAACTCCTCGAACGCCGGTGACGACGTGTTGTTCCCGAAGAGCTCCTCCTCGGCCGTCTGGCCGTGCCTCTGGTACAGCACGCCGAACTTGAAGTTGCTGACCAGCACGTGCTCGTCGTAGCTGGCAATGGACGTGGAGGCTTTGGGACAGAGGATGGGCGTCAGATTGTCCACGTTGATCTGCTCGTTGAGCAGCTTGGCCATGCGAATGGGCGACGGGTGGGGCATGAGGCAGGACGTGGGGATGATCTCGTGCATAGTGCCCGATTGCAGTCGCAACAGGATGCGCACGTGCTCCTGATTCGCCACATTCTCCGCCTTGATGCTCATCAGCACCGGGCCGAGAGCCTCATCGTGGCCCACGAGATTCGAGTGCTCACGGCCGATGAAGAAGCGCCTGTAGCATTTGGCCGTGTCGTCGGTCTCGAACTTGGCACGCCACGCATTGTGCGCCAGGACGGGATTTCCGTGCTGGTCGAAGGCGCACTCATGGTCAGTGCCGTCTAGCCAGTAGCCGCCGCTGCCGGGTAGGACGATCATGGGGTAGGGCGCTCCCTTGGCCAACGTGTCCTCGAGGAGGCGCTGCGAGGGCGGCGGCGCCACCGAGGACGCCTGCGAGGACACGCTGGACTGCGACTGGTAGGTGTGCACGGGGTGGTGAGACGGGAGCTGCGGCGAGGCCGGCGTGGAGCTCGAGGACGTGCTCAGGGAGTGCCGGAGGGTGCGATAGCCGCTCGACTGTTGACTGGGGAGGCTCTGGCTGTCCGCCGAGCTGTGTGGGTTGGGCACTCGCTCCTCCCGGGAAGTCTGCAAGTGAAACAACACACACACACATCAGTTAATTAGCCAAAAAGCCACCAGTATATGAGGAAGTTTGCTCATCTCCTCAGCTGCCCTCATGGCCAACAAGCGGCCAACAACTTCCTCCCGAAAAAAGAGGCTTCCGCTCTCTCGTGAAGGAAAAAGAGATTTTAATATCGATTACGTGCCTCCAAGGCGAAGTTTCTGCAGTGCAGAAAGTCCTTTCTCTCCCAGGCAGACAAAGAATCGGATTATGGCACCACACAACTGACATGATATTCTGCATGAAAATTACTCGGTGACCACCTGTCTGTCTTCTCACACCATGAAATCGTTACGAGCCAGCGATTTTTGAGGGGGAGATAGAGAGAAACCAAAGGCGGGCGCACAGGATATGGCAAAAAATGAGTCGTTGGAAGTTGAACAGGGCGCTCAAAAAATTCCACAGCATGTCTTTTTCCACACCACTTTGCTCATCCATCGTCGAACTATGCCACAACTTGTGAGGCGACCTGTGTGATGTACCTGAAAACATGAAAAATGGAAGAAGACACTCTTCTGCATCATGATGGAAATTCATGCAGAACACATCCAGAGAAGTGGCAAAAAAATTCCCACAGGAGGAAAGACAGAGAGAACACGAAAGTGGATGGCAAAAGGGAGGCAATAAAAGAACAAGTACACAATGAGGAAAATTCTGACAAATTTACCCTCAATATCGCCTCCAGAAAGTCTCCGGAAGTTCGCTCCGTTGCACTCAGAAGCGAATTGGAAAACGTAATGCTAAGGCAACAAAACACCCAGCGAAAAAGAGTTAAGATCATTATTCTTGTACACGTTGACACGCAAAGCATTTTCAGCATTTGCTGTGTTTTTTTTTTCCTCGTCGCGGTTCTAATTACAAAATTCTCGAACTTCGTGCTTGAAAAAACAGAAAAATATCACCGTGACTCCTCATTTGGGGAGACCATAAGACAATCTGATGGGAATTTTAAATTGCCGCAGACAATTTTATTCTGCAGAGAAAGAGAGAAAAGAGTGGAGAATTCTCAGGAAATTTGTCATTTCATTGTTCAAAAGGCGGGTGGAGTACTCAGCAAACCACACTAGACAAGGTGTAGTTGAGCCCATCGCTTTAAGTGCACGATAAAAATGTTTGAAATACTGAAATTTCCACAGATAATGTGAGGCATCATTTTGCAAAATTGATATCATAACAGGGCGAGGGAAATATTTGCCCTGCAGCGCACACCATATGGTGACTATTTGATCCCACCAGACACAATTTCCCACCCCCAAATGCTCTCGCCGTGCCCATATACGAAGAACAAATACAGGTGATAAAATTTAGATACTATGAGTAGAATGGCAGCGGAGGAAAAATAGAAAAAAATGTCGAGTGGTAGACAGAAAAAAGTGTAAATACATCTGTTGGACGATTATATTTGCATTCAACTCCAGTGATATGGTAAAGAGACACATTCACAGTCGCTGTAATTGTTTACTTTCGCATATCAAAGTCTCCGATGTGTGATAAAGGAACACATTGTTTAATCCAAAACTCGGTATATTTGTCAGAAAAATATCTGCAAAAGTGCCATACAGAGAACAGAAACTCTTGTTTTCCACCCGAGCGAAGAGACGTGGCTGAAAGTCTGCAGAGACTGTTTTTCTCACAATGCTGAACACTTGTGAATATCAAGAAGAAATATATTCTTGTATTTTTTTTTCAGAATTCTAAGAGTACCCAAAATCTAAATTAAGTCAATTCAAACTGACTGAAAGTTCATGGCCTCATTTATTATCTGAGAGACGACAAAGGATTTGAAAAAAACAGTGCTTTGCTTTCTCTACAATCCGCTGTTGAAACTTATTTTCGCAATTCTGAGATATGAATTAATGTGTAAAGATGAGATAAGATTTCAAATTTACACACTAAACGTCGATTCAATTTGAGTTCGCTCGCCTCAAGAAGCTCCATTCTTTGGCGACTGCAATCCTAATAAAGCTTTTAATTAAATTTCAGCATTAGATCCACCACTTTATTCGCATGGCGTGGCGTGGGCATATTGTGTAATTGATACTCTATGTGCCATTATTATTCAATTCTGCGAAGCAATCTGCAAAGCGGAGGAGGGCACAGGTATGGAAGGAATGCTATTGTAACATTTGTCGAGTCTGTGCGGCTGATGACCATGAATTGGAGCGAAACATGGCAAAAGTGCGTGTGAAACTATCTGACCTTCGACATGACTTAATCAAAATCCACCATCATCAAGCTGTTTTATTGAATTCCCACCTAAAGCCATGGGATCGATACACCCCAAGATTTCTCCCTTGACTTTCACACTCACACATTCCTGGGGAAATTATTTACGACAGTGTCTCCGCGCCACCCTCAACAACATTGCTAAGTGGCGTGTCATTTATTATTCAAACTATTTTGTGAAATAACACGCGAATTTTATCTATTTTCGCTGCTCACTGTCACACCATTTTCACCCTCCCAACCAAAGCCAAAAAAAAACCCTTTATTTACCCATCATTACAGCCCATTTCCTCAGCCACTCAAAGCCTCTCTTCAGCCATGATTTCTTCGCCATCGGGAAAAGTGGGATTATTCACACGAAAAGCACACTGATTAATTAATGATGCGAAAATATGAGAACATTGAATAATCAATTGAGTGGAAATTAATTCTTTCACCTCTCGCGACATCATATAGAATGATTTTGCAACACACTTATGTAATGCAAAATGCAATTAAAAAAGGTATAAATTTCATACATGAGGGATTTTAATTAAAAAAAAAGTAAAGAGAACCTACAAACAGCTTCGAGGGAATAGAAATATTGGGAAAGTTTCACTGAATTTTTAAACAAATATTCCCCCCATCAGCAATTTGTTACAACGAACACCGCAGTATTTCCAGCAAAAGATCAGTCGGGATAAGAATGGGAATCAGAAGGTAAATATAAATTCTCCAGAGCGCGGAGAAAACATTCTTCGTCCATATCACGATAATCTCACGGAGTTGAGGTGAATTAGTTATTGTTCTTTGAATTTTTCAAACTATCATACTCCGAGTGTCGCACTATCTCAATCTTCCCACTGATATAGTCTGGAGTGCGCCAAACCCTTTTCGTCTTGGGAATTGAGACACCAAAAACTGTGAGATGTATAATCGAGAATTTATATTTAGACACGTTAAACACCTCCAAGAGCCATTTAGATACATCTCGCATGGGGAAAAAGTTGAGGCACTCAAATATTACAGCATGAGTTTGCACCCATAATTTTCGGCACAATCTTGGGCACAATCCACAAATCAGCCTGTTGCGAGAATTTCCAAGTCCAGCCACTGGTAGTTTTGTGGATGGAAGAACTTTTCCAATAAAATCCATCAATTTCCCAGATGGCAAAACATCCCATTTCAGCGTCTCGTTGGGTGTTATTCTTGCATCGAAAAGCGGCCATGTGGCGATATATGTAATTTCAATGAAGCAGAGAAAGACGAGGTGTTGCTTGAGTCTAAAAGTCATAAAGGTGTGATCATCGTCGTATACAGTCAACATAAATTCACGTTTGCGCTGAAAATAATAATAATACACCACCAAGTATAGGAGAAGATGGAGAAAAAAAACGAGTAGAGCCAGCAAGTAAATTATGAATCACGGCCGCTCTTCTCTCGTGGCACTCAATATTCAATCACAATGGGCGCCTCATGAGCAGCAAAGGGGGCCCAAGGAGGGCGAGAGAGAGATTGAATATCGTCAGAAGAACATTGAGGACGTGATATGAAAAAGAGATGAAGGAAATTGCACAGCTCAAAACCTCTCATTTCTTAACGTTCCAAAACACCGTTTTCACAGAATACCCAAATGCAAAAACTCTCTCTCACTCTCCGCACACTTGCAATTTCCATTACACGTTCACTAAACTTGTACCATTCTTCAGTTATACGAGATGAACATTCCAGGGGAAAAACATGGCAATTTGCTTGAATTTTTCCACTCATTTCCTCCTAATTTTCGATAAACACCATCTTTTTTGCCACCTTTTCACATCTCTCGCCCAGCGACAAAGAACATTGTGTAGGTGAGGAGCGCCAATTGAGCTGCGATTTTGCTCGTTGCCAAGCACGGTGAGTTATTGTAAATGCTCACAGTGAGTTTGTCCATTATTCAGCGATTGAAAATTCTTCTCTGTCACTCACGAGGAGCGACAACAAAAGGTCTATAAATTGCCTCTCCAAGTGATTTGTGGATTGTGATTTGAGCAAGAAATGGAATTGTCTTTCACCACAATTTCATCGATTACAGTTCTGCCTCACGCGGACTATATCCAAGCGAGCCAGTGACGAAGTTAGCAATGAATAATTTATTTCAATGAATATTAAAAGATAATTTTCAGTTTTAATTTCTACTTCTTTTCTAGTTTCAAAGTCATATGCATTTTAAACAAATTGAATTAATTTCAACACATCACAACTATCACAATATTTATCGGAATTTTATAAATAGCATCGAGCAATTTAATCAAGAAGTAAGATATTTATCTCTTTCAAATTTCACATGCAGTCTTCTTCCATAAGCAATAAAATGAAGACGTTAAATATCAATGTCGGTTCTCTATTAGAAACCTTCAACCCATTTTTAAAGGCAACGCTCACAGCGCCTGTGGTAGATGGGGAAGATATAGAGAGAATGATTGAAATTCTATGGCTTTTTATATATTTTCCCCACCCCAGATGGCTGAATTTATTGATCGCTGGGCTGACTTGCCACCCCATCGCGACCCCGTGTGGTTAAGAGTGCAGAAAAATGCCCCGGAAAGGGAAGTAAAGCAGCACTTTAAGCCGCGTGAGGAGCTTTTTAATATCTTATTTCGCGGAAGTGGTGCTTTATCACTTTTGCACGCACCCCTCGCCCAAATCTGGCAAGACAGTGATAAATCAATTTGTCATATTAGATCAATATATTAAATCAAATTGCTGATTATTAAATTAGCATCACGGTTTTCTGCTGTAATTCCGCGCTTTAAGTCATGAAACCATATTTGAATTAATTACAACCCTCAAACGCAGAAGGGCGAGAAAAACGTGAAAATGAAAGTGCTCTTGAACTCGAGGACGCCCTTTGGGACATTCTTCAGCGGGCAAAAGGAACGCAGAAAATGAGGAAGCAATTGAGCACGGAATGGAGACGCTCTGCAAGAAGTGGCTTGATTGAATTGAGTCGAGAGAAGATCACAAGACAGTTATGCAATTCCATTGACAGCATACATTCATGTATATGTTGTGTTGCTCATGTGGAGCCTAGACTTTATTGCTAAAAGTGGGACACTTGGGCTGCGCCGCAGCCATTAATATCTTTATTGTGCAACACACAATATTGTTAATTTCTTTCTGCAAATATAAAACTTGTCGAGTGACTTTTCTTCGACTTCCTGACATTTGAAAATGGTGCTGAAGAGACAACACACAGTTTAATTGCGCCTTTTTCCTTCTTCCCCAGCGACTCTCTTGGCGCTTCACGACAACAACGCTCAAGAGGCACAACACAATTGATAATAAAATAGGTAGAAAAGTCAACGCTAAAGTATGTTACGAGTGAGAATAAGCCATGTGGAGAAAATCAATGACATCGGCCCCAACTAATGCCACATTGCGAGGGTTTGTGTGGCTCCAATCGTTAAATGACCTCCCCCAGAGCCGAGGGAAACCTCCTTAATGCCATTCCCGAGCAGGTAAGCTGCAAGTTCTACCTCCTGATAAAAACACACCACATATATGTAGTATTGATTTTCAATGGAAACACACCATCGACGCTATCCACCGTTCAAGGTGAGAAAGGAGAGGAAAAAAGCAGCAGTAAAACACTGTATGAACTGGCCCATTTACCACTTAATTGCAAAATCACTTCCCAACCAACACACTGCTAAATGATTCAAGCAGTCTCTCTCTATGCCAGGCGCGAGAAGAAATCTCTCGAGAGAATCAGTTTTCCACTAAAATTCATGAGAGTGTGAAAAATGCTGCCAAAAAACGGTGAAGCCAAATTTTAACTGTTTCAACCGCACATTTGCCTTCACATGCTCCCCGAAAACACTGAAGAAGAGATGATATAAAAAAAAGACTTGAGAATCGTGCTCATGTGAATAATTTTGTCATCTCTCGCGAACATTCAATTTTATTCATACAGAATACGAGCAGAGTGCGATGCCGTTTCACACAGTCCAGAGTTGAGATGTCCCGATAGCGCTGGAAAAGACACATTTTATCTAATACACAAATGGGAGATTCCAATTTCGAATGCAGTGACCAAGTGAAATAAAAGATGTGGAGCTTTTCGGAAAGCCATTGGTATTCACTGTAATTTGTCATTAGTAAAACTGGAACGCGAGCTTCAAGTTCAGCCAAAACATTTGAAATTTTAGAGTATTTTCCTAACGGATTCAATTGTGCGTTGTTTCACGGTTCTTCTCACACATCTCTCAATGAGCATCCTAATCCGAGCATCTCTTAGATTCACAAATTCAGCCATGCCGAATCCTCAGTCTATGTCATCGCCAACTCTGCTCCTCAGAAATATACATAAGGCGAGTGCGACAGAGGTCCCACGTGTTAGTTTATGGAAAATGGGAGGTGCAGGCGAGAATCATTCATAAGTAACACTATGAAAAGTACAATAAAAGTGTACATGAAGCACAATAACACAATCCATGGTGCCATGGCGAAGGAGGAAAAAGAAAAACAACAAGCCATCGAAGATCTTCCACTCGAGATTGCTCAGTGGAGATTTTGTGAGTGTGAAGACAAAGAAAATTGCAAGTAACTGAAAGGCAAGAGATCTCTCTTTGGCTGTCTGCTGAGTGGAATCACAAATTTTAACGCGCTTCAGTGCAAAAGACACATCATTTAATTATCTTCTATGCTCTCTTATTGTAGCATATTTACTCCCATAAGACGAGGCGCGCGGAGACGGAAAACTACACACAGAGTAAAACATCGTGAGAAGAAAACACACCGCTTCTTTTCATTTAGCCCAGCCATTTTTCCATGGGCTCGAGGAACAATAGGAAATATGCTTAATTCTCATTCCCTTCGCCTGTGTTGTCTGTCTCTTTTGCCAAACGCCACTTATTCTGCGCGATCTGCAGAGATTAACAATTGTCAAGGAGCGCAAAAAATACGGTGTGTTTTGCTGAGGGAATTTTTTCCTTCGACTTCTTGCCGATCTAAACATGAATACCCAGTGTTGTTGAGTGCATAAATTACACCCGAGGATTTTTCCATACACTTATTCACATCTTCACAAACTGTTATTTTTCATTGAGAGTAAACAATTGACGGCTGAAGAATATACACACAAGAAAAATGTCAATGAAAATATTTTGTTAAACTTCTTTTCTCATATGCTTGTTTCTTCACCCATTGATCGCATGGGCTGAGAGAATTTAGAAGCAGAAAAAAAATCCCCCCTTCGCACCCAAGCGAAATCCCATTGCTGAAAGATATGCTCGAGAGTTGAAGGCCCCAACCAAAGAAGTTTTATTCATATTCCCTCTCGCCTCTTCCCGCTTTTCCGCGCCTCACCAACAGAGTTTATTGACTCCTTTCCCTGCGAGCCCGAGACGTTTTATAAGTCATTTGTGAGACTCGCTGGCGATTAATGAATTACACTGAATATTCTTGCACATTTTCCTCAACGCAAGCCATCGGAGAATGTATTAACATACACACAGACTGGCCAAGACTGGGAGTGGTTGATTGATTGATATTGACTTAGCGCCTCCAAAACTGTCTCCAAAATTGATACTTCTCTTATTTGGCCACTTTAACCCTCACACAGCCAATCACGCATATCTCTCATTTGCCATCGATTGATGATATTTAACTCGATTACTTTCACACTTTCAAGTCTGATTCATCATGCATTTCTAGGTTATTTTGATAAGTTTGCAAATTCAACGCTTGTCTTATGGCGTGAAAGTGTTGAGATTGGAGGCGCGCTCATCGCCAAATTATGGTGATTTATTTGATCAGCGCAGAGCCAAGATAGAATGCTCGTGCCATAAGTGGCTGATTTGAAAAACAAAATCACTGTTCAGCCCCAATTTTCAGCCGAAAAACATGTGAACTCCACACGAAACCCTGAGCAGTCCGTGTGGTTGGATTTATCAAGCAGAAGCTGGTGCTGATGCCACAACAGCAGATTGGAAGATGATAATTTCACCCAGCAAGGTTAAAAATATATTCCGCAATTATAAATTATATTGATGAAGACTTTTCGTGCAATGGATTTTCACCTTTCTCTCGAAAAGCCCATGCACACAAGCCTTCTCATTTTTATCCATTAGCAGTGATGTTGTGTTTGCACAAGAGTGAAAGAGGCGCCATTGTGGAAGTAATTTAGACTTTCATTGGAAAATTTCACTACCTACATAGTGAGACTCATCGTTTGCACTCTTTGTTGCTTCTTCATTTTATTTTTTTACCTCAATCGATGTCCGGGAGCCCACGGAATTCCGGGATCCGGGCAAATCTCGCCACCTGAGAACACCCATCACGGCTTGACGCACCCAACGGCGCTCGACAGTGTCAGTTTGCAGGGCCACCTTGTCTAGTCCAGGATAGTTGAGATCAGGCATCCAGCTTAGGACCTCATCTCCACTTATATCACACACTGGCTCTTAATCTGATTTGTTGAATAACCACCGCAAGTCCACACAACTTCTCATCTAATCTATCTCTGTCAGTCGCTGTTTCCCAACTCTCTGGGGTCTTTTTTCTGTTCTTCGCGCTGCCAATCCCCGAAAAAGCACACACACTCTCCAACTCAGAGGAGATATGTTATGAAATCAACGCACAGCACGCACCTAATGAGAAAATCTCCCAAGCAATAGACCATGAGCTAGAGTCTCTCGCTCTCAGGTGAAATGTCTCTTTGCCATCGCGCGTTGCTTTAAATTTCAATCATCTGTCTTGACACACTAACCGAAAATGTTGGGATGGGTTTTGTTGAAAAAGAAATTTCTCTCTCAAGCTCGTGGAATCCACAAAATGTCTACAATAATTTCAAATCATACTCAAAGCATCTCGAGAGAGCGCAGCATTAAATTTCCAGAGTGAAATTCCTGCACACATAAAATTTTCACAATCTCATCCACCAGTAATGCCTCTCTTGCAATCCACCTCACTCTCGGTCCATGCGAGGTCTTGAAATGTCTATGATTTCATTTATAATCTGCACACAGCGAATTCACTCGAATGCAGCCACGCTAATTGGCGAATATAATTTAATCAGTAAAAATGTGTACGTGCAATTAGATGCCTTTTAGTCAATTTCCACTAAAAATCACACACATTTGAGAAACTCCACGGCAGCGAAATTGCGTGATTTGCTCTTTAAGGTTTTAATAAAGTCCAGAGAGAGAGAGAGAAAAAAAGGCTTAAAACTATATTTTCACTGCTGCTCACACGAAATCACTGTGATATAATAAGTTGATTGCGGGAGAGATTTGCGCTTTTCTTTTTTCTCTTCTCTCTGTCTCGCTCACTTTCAAGGAAGGCTCGGCGAGTCTTGTGTGTCCAAAAAAACCAGCCTCACTGACTCACACTCAAAACCGCACCGCCTTGGCTGGAGCGACAGAAATACACCTCATGACTCCACGATGGTTTCACACAGAATGACGACGACTTCATGCCCGATTCCATAGCAAAGTCCGGAGCTCGTGCGCCGGCCGCCGCATGCAAGGCGGCCGCAACACGCGACGAGTTCATTTTTCATCCAAAAGACAGCCTCGCACACATGCACACTCTCCGCTTCATGCCTCAAAACTCAATGTGCAATTTCGCCTCTTTGACGAATTTGTCACGCACTTCATATTCATACTGATTCATTCATATCAATTAAAGAGACTCAGAAGGAAGACCTCACGGGTCATTGTTGGGGTGTGTATTTGGCACGTCGAACCATAAAATTTGGTGCGAAGTTGCACAGGAAAAAAAACATATTCAAATTGTAGAGGAAGAAAGTAAAATTTAATTTTCGACAGACGCTCTGTCTCAATCGGAATGCAATTCAGGCGGAAAAAATGTTGTAATTGCTCCTTAATTGGCAAATTAGGTAGGAAATATGTATTGAAATATGTTACAACGTTTTGTTTCTACGCATTTGCCAAATTTCCTGTACACAATATTGGAGAGAAAAAAAACCTGTGTACGGAAAAGTAGAATAATTAGCACTCTGTCGAATGCAAATTATGGGCGAGAAAACAGTAAAATTAAAAAATTAAATATTCAAATGTAAAAATCACACTGAGATATCTTTTATTTCTTACAATTTACATCTATAGTCTTTGAAAATATTTTCCGCCAAAGTATTTTGAACTCTTCAATATGGAAATCAAGACTTTGAACTCGCATTTCAAATGGGACACATCGTGAAAATGCCCAATTAGAGACTCTGAAACAAATGTTCTCTCATTTAACTGCCAATTGGAAACATCTCCATTGCAAATACCCCACAAAACATTTAATAATAATAAAGTAAAGTGTAATGTCCCTCTTTTTTACAACCTCACACCACACGACACCGAGCAGTAAAGCCCGATATTTTATTCATTTTCCTCCCTCGGCACTTTTCAACATTTTGACTCACATCGTCCATGCACACAAGTGTGCAAAAACGAATTGGTTTCATTAGCCGAGGAGCAAATATATCAAACGATAGTGCTCGAGAGCGTCAGATATTCAAGGTAAACCTGAGGTGTGACACATTAACATGGTGGGCCTCCCTCTCGCCTGCTTTTCTCAGGCCAGCAATCAGCCAAATTAAAAATACAGGCAGCTATTAAAGCGGCCATATACGCCGCGTAGCACACCAATTGACTTTATTGGCGCGCGGCGTTAATTTTATTCAATCAAATCAGCCACGCCAGCTCATTAGATGGCTCTCCATGCAGAAAATTGCCAACAAATAGTGCACACCTACCTAAAAACTCTGCGTCTGTGCGCTGGAAAAGCGCACGTTTTCATTTTCCCTGCGACGGAATATTGCTTTTTTCCAATTATTTCCCATCCATATGCGATTTGTAATTTCGTTAAATCGATTTGTGTGTTTTTTTTCGCCCAGAAGAGCAACGTTCAGTATGTTAACAGCAATTTGCTGGAACAATTTGCAGTGAAATTTTCCTATTAATTTCCGCGATAATTGAGTGTGAAATGAAAAAAGCTGCGAAAATCTATTAATGAAACACAAACACACCGCGGAGCATTCTTGTATGGTCAAAATCAAAGAGATGGAACATTGATTGCCGTGCAGTTCGAAAGCTTCGCGTGTGCCTCAGTGTGTCTCGGCTAAGCTGTTATACTGCCGAAACACACGGCAAACACGCATGAAACACTGCGTTTCATCAACGTATTCCAGCCATTCAGACGGACTTCGAAGGTAGGAATTAATTGTTACCTTCAGCAAAAAAATCCACCCTCTAGGTCACAGATCAAATAAGACATTTTCCACTGTGAATCGCTCAAATGCGATAAGATCACGCCAGTGAACAAATACCGTCATTCCCGGTAAACTGATAAAGCCTGCGGGAAGAGAGGAAGAGCAAACGGCACGTGTCATTCGTCATCCTCATTTAGGAGAAAGAGAGAAGAGGCAGAAACAGACACGCGGAAGCCAAACATAATTGAGCATGGAAGGAAGATTAAAAGAGCGAGAGCAAATAAAATGCGGAAGGGGACCTTTTCCATTGGGCCGCAGAAGGCATTTTTATGGTGCATTGGAGACAATTATTACTCAATCATCAATTGACAATCCACCCAATATGCTTTCACGGAAACAAACCCCTTAAGATGAGCACCCCTCGCGTGAAATTCGCACCCAGGACAGCCCGGAAAGAGGGAGAGAGGAATTCGTGGATGGAAAAAATGCAGCTGCCCGAAGAGGCTCTTTTTTTATATACATTCATGACAAATTCTATGCACTGCATTCTCCAGTCAAGCGCTAAATTCCACGCCAGTCCGGACTGATAGCGTGATTATTTGTCTGAATGAAAGGTAAACAGAGGACTGCTAGAGGATAATCTCATGATGCGAAATTAAGTTATACGTCATTCGGAAGTGCATTCATTTCCCTATTGGCGGAAAAGTAGGTCACGAGGGACAAAGAAGAGACGGGGAATTGTGGTTTGTCAAGAGGTGAGATCCGGAGGGAAATTACCAGACGATTGATGGATTGTGTTTTGAGGAAAGTTTCATCAATCATGAAATATAATAATGCTGTTGCATTACCCGCTCTGCCGTGTCCCGATAATATAATATTCACATGGAACTGTGCGACTTTAAACTAAAGTCGTACAAGCTGGATAATTTCAACTCTTCCCAGCCATAAAAAAAATCAATAAAACAGCGAGTTCCAGAGAAAAACATCTCAATGGAGACACATCAGCTTGATAGAAACTCACCTGGGAGAAGTAGGGTGGCAGGACACAGCGCTGATCGTCGAGGCGCGAGTTCTGCACTCGCTCGAGGATCTCGAAGAGATCTTGCGTGGCACCATAGAGGCGGTCAGGATTCTGCCCAGGGGATTTTATGGTCGCGTGACTCGTGCTTATCGCAGTGGCGACATTTGCCGTTGAATTCGTACTCGTTGCACATCCTGCCATGTGTTGACGTCTGTTGGCGAGAAATGAGAAATGGCATTAGATCGACAAGGCGGCCGCAGCGCGGTTTGCAACAAAACGCAACACCATTCAACCTGTTGTTCACAAATTGCCATACAGAATGTGTGTGTGGAATGGAAATGGGTTGGAAAATTCACCACAGCTTGCACGAATGTTCGATGTTGCACTAAATTCACGCTTCCCATACTCCTCTTAATCTATGCCCAATTTTTGCAGTGCGAGGGAAAAAAACTGGTCATTCCGGAATATCTCTCTCACATCTTTGTGCCATCTCACCCGGGAGTGAAGCAGATTATCTTTCACGCCATGAGCCATTTCGAGGTGCACGCGAGAAGGGGTTAATTTGAGTGTAATTTATTCAACTGAACCTCCTGATCTACTTTCCCGGAGGCCCATTTGCACTGCAAAGGAGAACAAAAGCACAAGATCATCCTTCTTACCCTTGAACGATGACCCAAAGATTTCTTTTCAATCCAAAATTTGTTCTTAAACAGTGACAAACATGAATAAAAACCGAAAGGCATCGGATTTCACCGATAACACCGAAACTTCGTCCAGTCGACAAGTGATAAGTTTCGTTAACTCATCCTGAAAGGGTTAAACTGACCAAGAATTATCAATCTGGACAAAAGGCGGCTCGTATTTCTATCATTTCAACTGACTTTCTCAGGTACCCTGCTCAATCTTCAGCCGATTCACATTTCCAGTGCACCAGGTCACGGGAAGGTTGACGACCAGACGCGATTCGGCGTGGAATTGAAACAAAAAGTGTCATATTTTGCGCGGCGCCCCGAAGAAATGCCTCTGGCCGAGGGATTAGCGAGAAATTCTCACACATAAGCCACTTTTCCTCTCACTCAAACCCGTTCCTCGGCGTCTCCGGTGAAACCGAAAAATCCAACCGGTCTCTTTTTTGTTCCAGCATCCAGCAACCAGTGCATATTTGGTGGAATTATTAATGATTGTGCGGCATTTTCCTTGTCCAACTTTCTCGCGCGCCTCGCGAAGGGACATGGAAAAGTCACCCCTTTACCTTGTGAGAAAAAAGGGTTGTATTTAAGGATGTCGTGAACAAGTTGATGAACAATACAAAGTACTTTATTCCGCTGAGTGAACACGAATGAAGATTTTGTGCCTTGGGTATCGGCAAACAAGGATCAACGACCCAAGGAGAGAACCCCTTGCAATTGATTAACGTCTTCTGTTGTGCACACCGGGAAAGCAGTCGGAGAAAATCCTATCGTGGCGATAATGAGGCTTTAATTGTCTTTCTTTCACTGGAGGCTGTAATTAATCACGGGTGTGTGCCAAATTTCCGCTTCGGAAAGCAATTGACAAGTAAAACGCAAGCATTTCTTTCTGCGGAATCTAATTATCGCCTCAAATTAACGTGAAAAATTAGGTAATAAGCACTTCTTCTAAGGGCTTCTCGGCTTCACTGATTTTACAGGCCGCCAATTGACTGTCAAGGAAGAGCCACAGTGTGTCCCATTCGTTGAGCAATGGAGAAGTCACACATGGCAAAATCCACGCGATGATTCAATGCGAAATTCATATATTACTTCTCCACTTAATTAACACTGTTTAACCATATGGAAATTCTCAAATGCGTTATTTGCCGAGTAATATTGATTTTTCTCACTGTATTGATTCACCTCGCATCTCATGCTGTCTCCAGGCGCAACAACACACCAAAGACGACAAAACTGATCGTCTCGCAAGAGCAACAATTTAATTTATATGAAAACGATAGAGCAAGAAGAAAATTCTAGTGTGGGTGGGAATATATAAAACGTGTTGCGCACCGACAAGTTGTAACATTTTATTAATAGTAAAGATTATTAATTGTCTCATATGCAGCACTCATTCCATCATCATAAAACATATATATGGTGCATGAAGTGAAAAAACTACACAGCAAAACAGGCGATATTTTAATCAAACATATTCTCAATAAGCAGAAACAACACACGTCCATTGAAAAATCT